ATAGTATGTAAGGAGTTTCGCACGCCAGAGTTTAAAAGCCTTAAAAATAAGATGAAGGGAGATCCAACGAGCCAGCCAAGAACCTTCAAACTTGAATATTTCAACAGCTTAATAAACGTTTTCAAAATGATCTGCTGCTACTGAATCAATGCATTGACTTTCCTCTAAATCTGTGCGGAGTTCGGTAGCGTATTGGTCAGAGGACTCGCCTCGCAAGCTGGGCGATACGCTTCACAAGTTTCCTTGCTCCACACGCCTCTGTTTACCTAGCAGTAGGAACCTGGTTATTAGTCGACTGGCAGATCACTTTCCAGGGTAATAATCCTTTCAAAAATCCATGACTGTTTGTGGGACACTGCTGAGCACAATTGGCTGCTGCGTTTCAGCCACAAAATATGCAGTCAATTCACTTTAGGGTTTATTCTGTGAAGCGCTTTGGGAAGTCCCAATGACGTGATAAGGCACTGTATCAAATGCAAGGATTATTTGTCATTATTAAATCGTGCCACAAACAACTCATAACTATTTTAAGTGCAGCTGATTTGTACGGCACTTTTAGTATTGATTCAGCAGGAAGACTGTGCCGAATTGACATGAAAGATGCTGTAAAAATGTCTTAGCAGGAAGTTGCCTGGGTCCTGAAGCAGTTAATTGCATGGTTTAATGGTGATTCTTGCAGCTGGTTTATCCAACTCCGAGTTCTCATGCAAATTCGAAAACGTCTGCAATAAGTAGCACTTTTTGGATCTTAATGGCTGAATGCATGACGACAGGATTATGGCAGATTTGTAACTAAATGTTGATGGCTGGTACGAAACCGAATTGGAAAACTGCTGTGGAGCATGCGTATGCTGGCAGGTAGCTGGAAAAACAAATTGAAAATCGCAACGTGGTTTATTTTCGTCTGACTCAAGCATTTGAATAATTGGTCATTTAGACATTTGTGGGGAGAGAGAAAAATCTATATTTAATTCTGGAAAATTCAAACTTGCGGCAATTGTACCAGAGAGTGCAAGAGTTGCATCAATTGCGAGTGGTGTGTCAAACCCTCTACAACGTAGTACAGAATAAGTGATGGTTCCCAGGGTGGTCTAACCTTTTGGCTGCAGAGGTCCGGAAACCCTATTTGAGAAACCCACCACAAAAGCATTTTTTTTTNGTGAGTGTTTCCCTTCCAGAAATATAACATGATACTTTACGGGTTATCGGAGAGACGGGGAGGGGAGGGGTGGGAGTGGGCGTGGGGGTGTGTGGAATGGATGAAATGGGCCAGTTGGATCACCTCGGAGACTGCACGCAGTTAATTTTGCGCACAGTTTTTATCGCCTCCCTTTAAAAAGGATGTAATACATTCAATGTAATACTTTCACAAGACGGAGGACATCTCAAAGCACTTCACAGCAACTCTGAAGCGCTGGAGGTAAAAAGGTGGAATCTCTTTTCATCGGTACTTAAAGAGATGATCAAAAACCTTCGCAACATTGAGAAATACCTAAACATTTACGTCGTGCCTTAAATTGGTGTTTACTTTGCTGCTGTTCAATAACTTTGAAAACTCTTTTGAGAACAGTCTGAAACAGTTGCCAGCCCCTGCGATGATTAACAAGGTGAACATTAGCCCAGCACCATCATGGAATTCTTTGATTAGATGCTGATGATCACCGATCCGATAAGTCTCATGCTTGAATTAAGGATTCTCGGCCAGATTTAAAGCGTAAGGTGTAGCTCTGGGTCTCCAATTCCAGCGTGTGATACAGCCTTGAAAATTCACCGAGACCCTTTGTGAAATACGGGTCAGTTTAAGAATCTCTGAGGGGAAATCTTTACCTGCCTCTAGACTGAATACATATGCACTTGACACAGCAACTTGCACGTTGGGAGGCTGTCTCAAAGCGCTTTGTAGGATATGCTTTTTCCAGGTGAACGCAGCAACCAGTTTGCGCACAGCAGCGTCCCGCAGACAGACACGAAGTGAGTGACCCGTTTTATTGGGGGGATTGTCGGGCAGGGACACCTATTTTGCTCAATTCACGCGGGATCCGAGAGAATCCAGATTGTGGCACGTTCTGACGCGCAACTTTCATTTCGGAGCTAGTGTGCTCTGATTCCTTCTGAGAAAACTCATTCGAAATTCAAGACCGAATTCGTCAGCCTACCTACCCTCCGTGTTCCAGTGAAAACAGCCACACGTTTCTCCAGGCTCCGCTCATAAGTCAAACTGCTCAACCCTGACATTGCCCTAGTAAATCTCCTCTGCTCCCTCTCTCCCTCTCTCCCTCTGTGCAAAGAACAGGTGGTGATTAACGTTCTTTTTTTTGCCTATTTCTTAATGTGTTAAATTCACCTAGCGCTAATAATAAAAGCAAATTGGACATTGTGGGACTAATCTCTGTGATGCTGACATACACAGTTGAGTTGATGAGCCTGATGCAGCATCTCTTAATGACTTTATCTCTGCTGATGCTAATTTTCCTCTCGCAGACCATCAGGCCGATTAACTCTTGCCTGGCAGTTTCCCCGCTTTTATTTTCCACATTTGCTGTTTAACCCGGAATGCACAGTTTAGCAAATGATATATATTATTATTTCGGCCGGGGCGAAACCTCAGGCAAGCTTCCTTTACGGCCACACGCCTCTCTTTACCAAGCGGTTGTCAGATGATTGGCGGTAATAATCCCTCAAAACAAATTGGTCACTCAGTCGACGACTGTTTGTGGGACACTGCTGTGCAACAATTGGCTGTTACATTTCGCCCACAAAATACACAGTTAATTCACTTTAGAGTATATTCCGTGAGGCGCTTTGAGACGTCTCGATGACGTGATAAGGCGCTGTATCAAATGCAAGGATTATTATTATTATATGAATAAATTGTGCTTGAACATGACACAGCGCCTTTCGCGTCTCAAAGCACTTCACAGGCTTTTTACTCTGTATTTGTAGGCGATCAGGGCAGCCCATTACACCAGATGAGTTAGGATTCAAACAGTTGTGGAGGATCAAACAACCGAGATAAACGCAAACGGATTTCATTTGCTCGGAGCACGCTTGCAATCTCCACCTCGGGGCCAAGAGTTGCGCAAATCTATCCATGGGCACAGAAGAGGCGTGTGTGGATGACACGAGAAGACAGTGCGGCGATTTGAGAGAATCGCGATGCATAGCGCTTTGCCCGTTGTCGATGGTTTGTTTCAACGAGACATTTTCGAGTGACTGAAGTTCTTTGTTAACGTCGCGCCTCACTTCGCAATGAAGAACAAGTTGAGACAGCGCGGAGGATTTAGTTGAGTTGGAGTGCACTCCAAAATGAGCCATTTGACCTCTCCTAACCAGTCCCAGTCTTTTGCTCGAGAAGTTAGGTTCGAACTGGAAAGCTGGCACAGGAGAAACCACAATGCAAACCATATGTCAGAGGAGTTTATGAAACAGCAGGAGACTTTATCTGGCAAACACATGTGCTGACACAAAGCCACCGAGACATTGTCAGGAATTGGGCGACTCCCAAGCCAAGCAGGGATAAGGAGAACTTCCATGCAACGATACGAGACGGTTGGTGAGGCATGGCCGAGATGGAACGATACTTTAAGGGCCCCAGCAAGCCCGAAGATTCCAGTCCACGTTTGTATTCTTAACAAACACAACTCAAAACTGTTGCTGTTGTTGCAGCGTCCAGTCTATCGACAGATCTGATTGATAACACAAGTAACTAAGAAATGGGCCTTCGACACCATAAAATACTCTTATTTATGAGTCAACGAAAAGGGAGATTTCCGAGAATCAGGAGACTGTGAGCGTGCGCTGGCTATTCCTCAGGCAGAACAGGGAATGTTTTGGGCAATCCCTTGACCTTATCCCGTTTGTTATGTGACTTCGCTGCTGCTTGATCCTTGTTGTGTGCAGTCCTCCAGAGGGCCTCACGTTTACAGTCACCGGATTTTGGGCAAACCAGCATTGTTTCGCATCTCCTAGAACTGTCTGTTGTGCACGTTGCTCCTTAACGTCGGAGAAATACATCTGTCAGTGTAAGCAACAACAACAGCAGCTTGCATTTATATAGCACCCTTCGGGCCGGACTGCTTCTCGGAGAGTACGGTGTGAGCTAAGTCCCGAGGTGAGGTTTAAGCCCACAAACCTCTGACTCAGAGGCGAGAGTGCCACCAACTGAGCTGGACTATTAATAAAATCTGATCCTCTTGAACGACCTTTACATTTGAAGGACTGTGGCTTGGGGGCAGTTGACTGCTGACTTGAACGTAAAGGGGGGGTTAGCGCGGTGTTGATTTTCTTAGACGTCGGGAGTTTCCTACTGAGACGAACAGAAATTTCTGTAAAATGTTATCTATGTGATCTTCAATCCGAGTGACACTCGTATTCCTCGTGGTGATTTTTTGTGGGGGGGAATGGGAGAGGGAGAGGCAGGGCTGGGGGTGGGGGGGGGGCAAGGGAGGAGTGGGCAAGGAGATCAAGGAAGGTAATTTATTGAAAATCTTTTAGGGCCTCGTGAAACCGCATAAAATAATTCTTTTGCTCTTCCTGATAATAATAATAATCATATAATTAATGATAAAATGTTATGGTTATCCGAAGCTGGGAAGTATTAAACTCCTATATCAATCCTTGAGTTTGATATATATATTATATATAAATATAGCGCCTGATCACGTCATCGAGACGCCTCAAAGCGCTTCACGGTACAGTGAACTGCAAAGTGAAATGTTTGCATGTTTTGTGGGCGCAACACACGCTCTTTATCACAAATTTAACAGCGGTAGGAAGTGAGCTGCGTATTTTATGTATCTGCGTTAAGAAGTGACTGGCAGCTTAGTCACCCAGAGGAGACCAGGGCAACACAATACCCGGTTGAGCTATGACTCTGCAAGTCTTTTTTTTTTGCTGGAAGTGATGAGGCAAGGCACAATGTCACAGAATGCCTGCCCTATATTTCGTCAAAAACAGTTAACCCTTGCAATTCGAGCCACCTTTCCGTTCACGCTGTCCACGGGCTTGCCTTCGCTCGTGGCTGCAGTGGTTGATAGCTGTGCCTTGCACCGAGAGAGAGTGAGAGTGAGAGAGAGAGAGAGAGCAAGCATCGATCTGCTCTGCGTGGGTGTCTGTTCTCTCTGACACAGATGCGATTAGCTGAAGCAGCCTGCGATGGAACACTGACGGCAAAGGAATTGTGAGCGCCAGGTCCGAATGACGCACGGCGGGATCCGAGTTGCAGCATTTGGCAGGGAGGTCTGATCAGGTGCAGAATATCCGCATTGTCTGCGTTCATTTATTTACTTATTCGTTCGTTCGTTCATTCATTCCCGAGCCCGAATCAACGCAGAGTAAATAATCCTGCAAAGAAATAACCCCTTCCCCTCTTTGCGTTCTTATTCTACCACGAAACACGTCGACCGGACGGACTGTGTTAGATTGGGATCATGGGAGGGAGGTGGGGAGATTATTTATTATTCCCGTTAATGTTCGTCAATTCAATTTGATAGTTGGCCGCCTGCTTCTGTTCCATGTGCTAATGAGATATTGACCATGATAAAACATTGCAGGCTTGTTTCATCCACAATTGCTGGTGACTTACCCTCCTCCAGGCTCTGTTTTTGGTTTCACCTGCATTTAACCATTTGTTTTCCAAACTGAACCACGTTGACTGTTTAATCCGGATCCAATTCCCACTGGATCCACGCTGCGACTATACAACGATGACGCACTGATCACAAGGGATGGAAGAAGACGAATTATTTATCCCCATTTTACTGCATCTTTACCGCCTACGATAACACGCGCAGGGGTACCTTACAGGAGGAGGGTGAACACAGGCGAGGTCAAAGAGGAGGGTCTTGAGAAGGGTCTTGACGTGAAGCGAGGCGGGCTGGGCAGGGGCTTGGAGCAGGTCGGAGCCTGCTGAGCGGAGAGAGTGGACAGGTCTTTAGACATTGTGGGGTAATGTCTGCTAATGAACTTTATCTCCCCCCCCGCGAGTCTTTGCCACTTATAGGATTTGCCAATCTATAGAGGTCCGCGTGAAACAGTTGTGAGTTCCAGTGACAAGATCTGCTATTTTTAGCCACCGGTTTACCTCAGAATCCACTCTATGTTAATGAGCGAGCAAACACAATGCTGCCAAAGGTAGCAACGCCATCCATGATGGGTAATAAATGTCACGTGTTGAGATCATAAAACAAGCTTCTGACAAACTCAAACTGAGCAAATCAAACGTGTCAGATCTGTGTTTAACTTCCTGGGACGATTTAATGGCTCCCGCTTCCGCCGAACTGGTTTGGCGGAGCTCAAGCTGGAAAGAATGGACGTAATTGGGCCCATCGTTCCCTGTGGCAACCTGTAACTGCGAGGATCATTACGATCTATTCTCGCAGGACACGAGACAGCCGTTGCACAAGTCTGCCGTCTATTGCAACTACTGGCATTTGGGAAGTTGAGTAGCATCTGCGCCGAACATCCTTTGGCTTCTTGTGCACTCTGTGTGTGTCAGTCTGGCCCAGTGAAAGCGCTCTCGCCTCTGAGCCAGAGGAGCTGTTGTTGTTAGGCCTTTGGAGTTATTTCGAATACGTTTATTGTATGGGGGTCCCAAGTCAGGGGGGCTAATGTCCTGGGGTGTGGCCTTGAGGGGGAGCCCAGAAACTTTGGGAAGCCCTGGTATAAAGCAGTATAAAATGCATTGCCCTCCCTCGCTCCCTCCCTTTATCCACTCTCCCTCTTCCTTTCTTTCCTTCCCCTTTCTCCCTCCCTCGCTCCCTCCCTCCCTCCCACTCTAAATCAGATTTGCCGTTCTCTAATTTAAAAAAGATTCCCCTTCAGCAGTAGTAGTCTAGGTGACGTCTGATGACATCAAAGTGTGGCCGCCTTTGAGTACCACACGTCCCAGCCCGCACTACAGCTGCCTTTTGTGAGATGTCTCACCGAGGAGTCAGCTGAAAGCCACAATGACACATTCACTGCAACGCCGGTGGGTTCCTTTGTAATTTCCTCACCACTGTCATTCTCAAGATACTTACGGCTTAAAGCTCTCCACAGCAGCAGGAGTTTTTAACCAGTGTTCAGGATCTTTTGATAATAATCCTGGCAATTGGCTGCCGCGTTTCACCGACAGACTACACAGTCGATTCACTTTACAGTGTATTGCAAGCTGAGACGCCTCGAAGACGTGATAAGGCGCTAACTCGAATGCAAGGATTATTATTGCTGCTACGGCATCTTCACTGAATATACTGTATTGTAAAGTGGATTAAGCTTATTCCACGGGGCATTGCTGTGCTCAAATCGGCTGATGCATTCGCAACATACAGTCACTGCACTTTACAGTCTATCTTGCGGAGGGCTTCGGGATGTCCTCCTGACGTGAAAGGCATTATTCCAAATGTACGGATTATTATCAAATAATAATATCACAGGATTAAACCGACCGAGCATGTTTTGCGACCTTTTCGATTTGACGCCCAAAAAGTTAAGTCAACCCCGAAGAGTGGCCAGGACTGCAGGACTAGCCCTTTCTCACGGAACGCAAGCCTTAACGTAATAGTCCTCCTGAGAATAAGTGAAACACAGCTTAAAATTGGAGACTTTTTTTTTGTAGTCATGTCACTGCTGGTCACGGTTTAACCCGTTGTTAATCTGCCTTCTGCGCTATCACCAGCAGGTGGTGGTCGTCTGTTGCAAATGAGAAACTCACCTGATTTCGGTGGTGTGTTTATTTTACTGGAAAAGTCCGAGTTTCGGCGGGAAAATTGACTTGCCCCGTTCGTGCGCGAAAATACAGTCACTGCGCTTCACAGTGAACTTCTGTGAAGCGCTCTGGGGCGACGACAGCACAATTACATTTGTATAGCGCCTTTCAGCGTCCCAGGGCGCTGGAAACATCACAACATCGCAACGGTGTGATAAAGCACCAGATCAAATGCAAGATTAATTATATTAATATGTCATCCGCAGCTGAAGCCAAGAAATGAACAACTTCACTCCTTCCTTCCACTTAGAATCATGGAACCGTACAGCACAAAAGGAGGCCATTCGGCCCATCGTGATGTGCTGGCTCTTTGAAAAGAGCTATTCAATTCGATCCCACTCCCCCGCGCTCTCCCCACTTGCCCTGCAAACGTGTCCTCCCCAAATCTTGTGGAGTCCTGTTGCTCAGCGGTCAGAGCACTCGCCTTGCAAGCGAGACACCTGGGTTCAATTCCAGGCAGGTCAGGGCGTAAACCTTGGGCAAGTTTGCTTACTCCACACACAGCCTAATAATAATCCCTCCAAAAAACAAAAAAAATTATAAATTGGTCATTTTCAATCCACGACTGTTTGTGGGGACGCCGCTGTGCGCAGTCGGCCGCCGCGTTTCGCCCACAAATATACGGTCAATTCACTTTACAGCATATTCTGTGAAGCGCTTTGAGACGACGAGACGACCTGAAAAGCGCTGTATCAAATGCAAGGATTATTATTATTATATTACTTCTTTCTTAAAAGTTGTTCTTTCCCTTTTCTCCATCTCTCCCCCTTCCCCCACCCGCACGAGCTCTTTACCCAGGGTCCTCCCAGCAGATGGCCTGATGTGAAGTCAGATGATCTCCCATTTCCATTTCACGCTAGAATTGGATGAAGGAAATCATCGGCGCCATCTGCAGACCCACAGTAATTGAATTGCAATAAGGAGACCATTTTTGCAGAGTGAACTGCGCACTCATGAACTGGACAAACCTTTTACTTGTTTCTCCAATTAGTTTGATTTGGGTTTCGAGGAATGAATTGGAGAGTGACCCCGGGGTTGGTTGAGCAGATGCTCGAGTGGCTTAGGAGCAAGCAGCGCAGTGCTCTGAGACGCTATCCTTGTGGGAGGGGCGCTCTGTAAATGCAAGTTGTTGTTGTTGGTGCCTATCTGAGGTCTCCTCATGTATAGCATGAGCTGCTGTCTCTATTGCCTATTCTCCGTTTCTCTATTTGCAGATGATTTGAACTAATAATAATCCTTTTAATTTAATTTTTTTTATTTGTTTGTTTAATTGTTTATGTATTTATTTATCTGGGGGATCGTTGGCCAGGAAACTGGGAAAAAAAAACTCCTTTCTCTTCGCAAACAGCACGATGGGATCTTTAACATCCACCTGAACACACAGACGGGACCTCGGTTTAACCTCATTCGAAGGACGGCACCTCTGACCATGCAACGCTCCCCCCAACACTGCATTGGAGCATCAGCTTAGACTACACGCTCATAGCCTCGACGTGGAGCTTAAACCCACAACCTCCTGCCTCAGAGGTGAGAGTGCTACCAAAATCAAGTGCAAGGATTACATTCGATTATTTCCTGTTTAACAAGAGGGGTGAGCGGTTTTCGCAAGATGAAATTTAAACAACTACCAATTTCAAGGAACCCTGATCCTCTCTGAGAACCAGACTTCTTTTCCAACTGTAACTCTAACACACAGTCACTCCGCTTTACAGTATATCCTGTGAAGCGCTTTGAGACGTCTCGAAGACGTGATAAGGCGTTGTGTCAAATGCAAGGATTATTATTATCATAACCAGTGGTGTAAAATGGGGGGCGAATCTGTGCAACAAATCTTTATTGCATTAAAAATATTAATAGTTTACCTGCAATTTTGAAGCTATGTGCGTGTCTGGGACGTCTCAATGGTGTGATAAGGAGCTATATCAAATGCAAGGGTTGTTATTATTATTAAGGGGTGGTGCGGCGAGAAGAGTAAATTGTTTGCTGAAAGTCTGTCACGTTCTTAATAATGATGTTTGCAAGACCGAGACGTGATCGAAGTTGCATCTTTGAACCTATTCAGGGATGCATTCTGTTTTGAGAAACAAATGCCAGTCCGTCGCTGAGGCCACCTTTATCATTGCGGACACTTCTGGAACATGACACCAGCCTTAAAGCTGCTGCTTATTAAACTTGAATGAGCAGATCCAGCCTTGGGTTTCAGCTGCACGGGTCGTAGAATCTATCTGGTCGGGTGTTTCACCAGAGTTTGTTTCAGGTGCTTTCCTCACACAATGCAAGGTTGCTATCCAATGTACTATTGCCTCATGTCTCCCACTTGCTTTCTGTTTCTGCGCCTCGCAACGTCAATCAGAGTCGAATTCCAGAGAGAAAGCATCAGCCACCTTGCTTCACAGTACCAATGCTCTCCCACTCGCGCTCTCGCTCTCCGCTCGTCTGGCTCATCAATAAATCAGACGGATTCTAATTAAATCCCCAAACCTGACACTTTTATTTGGCAGTTCGTGGCAGCGCCGTCCTTTCCATCGTCAGGTGGAGCGGGGCCGTGAGTGACACTGAACGTTTAGACAAGACGAGATTTACACGACAAAAAGAAAGCGTGTCACAGTCACGTCGTGGGTTGTGTAGACTGAGGCAGCTGCGGACAGAGTGGAAGTTCGGGTGCTGTTTGAGCGCGTGTTCATTGGATCGGGAAATAATATTAATAATCCTTACCTTTGATCATTTGCCTCTGTTTACGTAGCTGTAAATCGGAAGCCGGTTGTCAGTCGATTGGCAGACCGGTTTGTGACACACTCTCAACGTGAAACAACGACAACAACTTGTGCTTGTATCGCACTCTTCACCAGGGTAGCGTCTCGGAAAGGCGGGAAATGTATGAAATGCAAAGATTATTATAATTGTTCAATTCGTAAAATGTTCCTCTACTTGTGCCAGTCACTCGATTTAAAAAAAAATACAGACAAGATTGGGTACTTCAACCAATTGAATTTTGGTATATATAATCTTACCAGGGTATCAGAACACTTAGGATTGTCACCCACTTCCTTCTGACGCTCATAGAGAGAGACACAATCAGCACTTTATTTATCAATATTACATGCAACGAAAATGGGATTGCAGTGATGTGTTTGACAATATAACGGATGAAGATTAATAGGTTCGCCCGTGAAACATTTCACTTCTCAATATCACGTCGGGTTTGATGTGGTTCAGATTTCGTCAAGCGATCATGTGAAGAGGAATGGGGAAAGGGTGACTTTTACTCACTATTGGAACAGCTGCATTTCATGTATCACTATTAATGTCTCTGCTTGTACATTATACTGTAAGATAAATTCTAATGTTGAATTAAGTATGTCTTGTGTCATACCACTGTCTCCTCGCAACAGAATGAATCCAGTCTTGCCTGTCAACATTCGGGTCCTGAAATTCCACCCGATCTTAGCCCATTAGACCATTTTGTCTCCCCGTTGTAATAATAATAATAATCCTTGCATTTGATATAGGGTCTTATTACATCTTTGAGACGTCTCAAAGTGCTTCACAGAATATACTATAAAGTGAATTGACTGTATACTTTCTGGGAGAAACACGGCAGCCAATTGCGCACAGCAGCGTCCCACAAACAGCCGTGGATTGAAGTGACCAAATTATTATTATTTGATTGTAACTCATGTTATTGGCACTACATCAAATGCAAGAATTATTATCATTATTAATAATATAAATCCCTGTTGATGTTATCAGTCCAGATGTCGATCACTGCAATCGCTGAACACTATGTCCACGTCACATTGCAAAATAAAGCCTTAGGTTTTTATTCACCCAAACACTGCAGGTAAAAATAAGCCTCTGAGTGAATTCCCTATGGGTTTCTCACAGCTTCGCAAGATGAACTCCAATAACAAACCATCCCCTCCCTCCACACACAGCCTCCGGCACAGCCTGTTTTCAGTCACCGCACGGTGTGGGAGTAGGACTTCACAAGATTGGTTTGGAACGAAGAAAAAGCCTTTTGACGCATATGATCTCATTCCACCCACCCTATCATTCTCCTGTCACAGCATCAAGTTGCTATTTAAATTCCTCAACCACCCTTCCTGGCCGTCTGTTCCAGTCAGTAATAATTCCCTCTCTGGATAAAGGCAGCTGGTGTTTGAGGCGATTTCCGCATGTTTAAAGTTCTCTTGCAAAAATGTTCTGATACACAACACACGTCACAAAATCACAGCATAGGTTCAGATCATGAAGCTACCTCAACCCATTTGATCTCATCCTTCCAGAACACAACACCCACCCCCCCCCACCCCATTACAGTATCAAGCTATTTCTTGATTGAGTTCAGGTTTTTGGAATGAGCCAAATGTCCTGGCCTCAACCAGCCTTCCTAATCACCCTTCCACTTGTTAATTACCCCCTATGTAAAGAAATACTGCCTGATGGGTGTCCTGAAATAACCCTGTGCAACTCTGAACCCGTGCCCTCTTGTTTTGCTGCCTTCTTTGCATGCATTGAACAATACAGCCATTCTCCCTCTTTGTTTGCGTTCCCGCTCTCAAAATAACCCGTTTGATAACCAGGTGGTGTCTGCCAATCATTTATAGAACCATAAAACGTTCCAAGGCTAAAACATTCAGACTATTCGGTCAACTGAGTCCTGGTGTTCATTCTCCACCAATCTGAACTCACTCTTCCAACTCACTCCCTCTCTACCCTTTAATAACAATCATAATCATAATAATAATAATAATAATCCCTCCAAAAAACAAACAAAAAAAATTGGTCATTTTCAATCCAGTTTGTGGGACGCTGCTGTGTGCAATTGGCTGCCGCGTTCGCCCACAAATATACAGTCAATTCACTTTACAGTGTGTTCTGTGAAGCGCTTTGGGACGTCCTCCTGACGTGAAAAGCGCTATATCATATGCACGGATTATTATTATTGTGATCACCTGTGTAAGGTGATAGCCTCCAATCCCCTTGTGACAATCTCTCTCTCTCTGCTCCCTTTAAATGTTGACTGTATCCTCACTTGGAGACATTAACCCACCAACCAGCCCCATGTGGTGTAGGTACTATGTTCATTTCAACGCATGCTCACTGTTCCCTGTATTTTCCATCCATCCCTCCATCCTATTGCACTTTCCCAGCTCCATCCCCTTCTCTCTGACTCAGGGTTTTTTTTTTAATCTGTGTTCCTTTTTCACCAGGAGGGAGAAGGGAAGGAAGGAAGAAAGCAAATAACGTAGAAGAACTTCTGCTTTCTGTTAACTTTTTTCTCTCTCTCTCTCTCTCTCTCTCCAGCTGTTGGATCATTTTGGAGGAGAGAGGATGGACAGAGCAGACATCGTGCTGAGAGCTTCTCTGTTAATGTTTCTCTCTGGAGTTTGCCAAGTACAGACAGCAGGTAAACACTTTCTCTGTTGACTCTCTTTACAACGAAAGCCTTTTATATATATTATATCATCTGTTGACAATTTTATACATATGTCTGTTGACTCTCTTTACAACGAAAGCTATTTATATATATTATATTATCTGTTGACTATTTTATATATATGTGTGTCTGTTGACTCTCTTTACAACGAAAGCTATGTATATATATATATATGAAACAACTTGTATTGTGTTGTTGGTTAAAGATCCAGAGTTTATTTTATATTTTATATATATATATACATAAACATTGAAATAGATATCATGTTCTGATGTTGTGTTGACGTGTCTTTAATTATTTTCTCTCTTTCCTGTTGCAATGTAAAACTGGTGAGAGAGAGAGAAAAAAAATATTTCAAAGCCCCAACGTTTTCCACAGCAGTAGTTTCAGATCAGCCTAACTGCCCTTTAAAGGGATATTACTGCCTCCTCACAAGACAATTGTGCAATTTCAAATGACACCCGAATGTAATGATATGACTGACTGCCCCCCTTGTCGTTGTGCTGTCTCTCAAGTGCATTTCAACTGAAGTTTAAATTAAAAATGGAGAGAAATTGGCATTAATAATTCTTCCATTAAGCATTTTGGACTGGTATCAGGTAGAAGGGGTGATGTGGCGGGGGGGGGTTATTGATTGGCACTTGGATCGATTGGCGGATCGCTTTCCGAGGGGGAAATAATCCCCTCAAAAATAAAATGTGGTCACTCAACCCGTGACTGTTTGAGGGACGCTGCTGTGTACGCAATTGGCTGCCATGTTTCACCCATTTAATATACAGTTGATTCTCTTTACAGTATGCCCTGTGAAGCGCTTTGAGACGCCTCAATGACTGCTAGTAACTATTATTATTATTACTACTGTTGTGCTGCTACACATGTCATTTTCCTCCCCACCTGGAATAACCAACAGTCACGCCCTCCCGTGTTGGCTGAAAGCCTATTATTTGGTGGGGGGGGGTGGGATTTGCAATTTTCTTGGGTTTGAATGGTGAAAACGGCCAACTTGGAACTTGTGTCCAGGCTGAGGCTCCAGGGGGAAGCATTGCATTGTCGGGGGTGCCATCCTTCGGATGAGACAATGACATTGACTGCACTTCTGTCCGTGACCTTTCAGGTTGACGTTAAAGGTCCCGTGGCGCTATCCAGAAAGAGAAGGGGGTTTCTCGCGGTGTTCTGGCCCAAATTCCCCCAGATACGATTAGTCATTCACTTCATGGCTCTTTGTGGCCCATCGCAATGTACAAACTTAGTTGTTGCGTTCACACAAATGCCCAGACGGTGCACTTTAATAATAACTATACAATGAATCTTGGGACGCGCTTTGACAGTGGGTTAAGACACTACATCAAATGTTATATTGTGTTTTACGTGAACTACACATCATCTTTCTGCTCCTCCGGCCTCTGCATTTTGCCTCAATAGTCAAGCGCTCGGTTAGCAAAACAGTGCTCTCCTTGTCTCGTTTAGTGACTTGCACACCAGGTCTCCTGATTCTATAATCCTGACGTAGTGCCCAGCTCGCAGAGCAGTGACCAGGGGTATTGAATCCTTTCGAGATCAGTATTGGCCACTGAACCTGCCGACAAGTAGGTGCCCATTGTGGTGCCAACTTCTCCGTGGCCTGGTCTGGATTACACAGTGCAGATGGGGTGGATGTTATAACGTGGGAGAGATGATGATGTCCAACATCTCGATGTCCATTGCAGAGAAGGCTCTATGTCTGTCCACATCAGCGGATTGGTGCGAAGCCTGTTAATACCCAAATGCACTAGATCTATGTTATTGACATTGTTATTGAATAATCCATCATTGGTTTGAGTACAGTTTTGGGTGTCCTCAAGCCCAGGGACCTAGACAGCAGCGTGAGACATTTTGGGACATCTACCCGATGTGAAAGGCACTGAATCGATGCATATTGTACTGTTTGAATCCGCAATGTGTTATTAAACCACCATAATATATCCACTTTGGGGATCAATAGCTAAGTTTCTCTTTGTGTTCCCTCCTAGGAGGATGCGGACAGTTTGTATCGTGTGAGCGGTGTCTCACTAGCAATGCTTCGCTCAATTTAGCCGACTGTGCATGGGCGCAGTGTCGGTCAGGTAAGGGATTTGTACATAATTTAACGTAAAGTGCGCAGAGTAATCCGGGGGCTCATCTGACATATTACAGCCTTTTAAAAGGGGGGGGGGAAGATGCCACAACAATCCACTTTGAGATGTCTCAACGATGTGATGATGATGATAATAATAATCAAATGATATTATTATCCTGATTGCTATCTAGTAACATCTATTTGGAGAATTTCTACTGTTCAGTTAAGGCAGGATGGGACTTAACCCCTTGGACTTTGCTCCCATGGTGAAATAGCACAACATGGAGGATAATCCAGGACATCAACTTGTTGCCAGGGCACAAGACCCCAGCGACAATCGGGGCCTTCAGGAGGGAGAGAAGGAGACTGACCGTGAGGTTGATTTTGCAGCATTATTATTAGGACTTTCTGTTGTTGTGTGTCAGCCTGGCGCAGTGGTAGTGCTCTCGCCTCCGAGTCAGAACATTGTGGGTTCAAGCCCCACGTCAGGACTTGGAATCGCATCGTCTAACGTGACACTCCATTGCAGTGCTGGGGGGTGTGGGTCTCGAGCAGTTGAAGGTGCCGTACTTCGGATGAGACGTTAAACTGAGGTCCTGTCTACGTGTTCAGGTGGGAGTTAAAGAACCCGCGGCACTATTTGAAAAGAGAAGGGAATTTCTCCTGGTCCCCGGCCAATAATCCCTCCCAATAAATTGATTACATGGCAGTTTGTGTGTGCAACTGGCTGCCGCGTTTCGCTCACAAAATACACAGTCAATCCACCTGAAGGATATTCTGTGAAGCTCTTTGAGATGTCTTAATGACACGAAAAGCCCCGCATCAAATGCAAGGATTACAATTATTATTAGAAAAGGCTCAAATCTTCAGAAACGAAGGTTGATGGAACCGCAGCTTTGAGATGAATGAACCCCGAGCTTAAACCTCTCGCCCGGAGTTTCACAACAGTTGTGAAGCCCTCTCTTTTGCGTTGATGTTGCCTCTGCGGCCAGTTTTGCCCGCTCTCTGATGGGATGAGCATTTCCAATAACGAGTAAAATGAGACTCTGTTGTCCTTCCAAATGGCTTCCAACGCAGCAGGATTGCCGACCTAATGGGTCCTATACACCTCGCGCCAGATGTAACCTGATTCGCAGGCTACAGTTTGATCCTATGTCTGACTATCATATGACTGCTACCAGGCAACCAGGAGCATTCAGTTGGATTAATGACCTGTGAAACGCAGCACAATCAGTTACTGTGCGGCAGCTCACCTGGCAGAGCAGTGTTTAGCTGAACACTGTACGCTTTACTCGTGTGAAACATCTGACCTTCCCTACGACATCAATTTTAACGGCTGTAAATTGTGCCGTCCGGGCTGATATTGCTAACGTTCTGGACTTGATCACTAACTAGTCTGTCACTAATTCCTCTTCCCGCCCCTTGAGGAGTAAGTGATAGCGTTCTCAAAACAACTACTTTACAACCGTAATTTGCTGGAAAGCAAGCAGCGTCTTTCTAGATTAACTTCCTCACCCCCCCACCCCACACAACCCCCGAAATAAACTGGCTGGTTTGCTGAGACATCCTGTAACTGCTGTTAGCTCAATAAGTGTGAATGAGATTTTTCTCCCTCCAGCGCAAGTAACTGGAGGCTTTAGTCTACTAAGGCAGGGGACGTTGAGTGAAAACTGTACTTGTTAACATTGAATGGGTTGTTATATTACCTGAGATTTGCGATGCTTAACACCCACTAACTGTAGTGACGCTGATTCCTGTGCCTGTTTGTGTGTTACCAGTTTACCACCTAACTAACCAGGTTTGCAGTGGCTCCAAAATCAAGTCTTCCTAAGTTTTTTGTTTCAAAGAAATGGCCTTTATTTAGAAACTGAATAATCATTGACATTAATAATCCAGGGCATTGTATAATTTTCAGTTACTAACTCCTTACTCCTTTGGACTCTTTGTTTGGCAAAGTTCCTCTTAAACTTGTGCTAAATTATCGCATCTTAGCTTTTAGTTGAATGATATTCAGGAGGTAGAGCAGTTGCTTTTGAAAATTGGACACTGCTTTTGTTAATATAGCGTAATAATATTAAAGGGGAAGTTCACAGTGACATGTGCTCTAAAACCTGTTACGGAAGAGGGGTTGAGCTTTCTGTCGGCCAAGTCTATGCTTCAAGCTTTATTTTCTACTTCGAGTAAAGAACGCACAAGAACATAAGAATTTACTCGGCCAAAGTGGACCAAGGTCCATCCAGTTCGCCTGCAACCATCCCAGCAGTCGCCTGTACGTGTCGTGTCCCAAGCTATACACTGTAGCCCAAGATATTATTTCCTAACAGAAATCGATCTTGAAAATTTGTTCTTGAAAGATGCCTTTATGTTGAGCTTCATAATGCAGTAATGATGTCAGCTTAGGCTTGGGAGGACATGATGCGAGCCAAGAGTAGGAGGAGAACCATTGTTAAGTTGGACTACGGGAGTGTTGGCAGTAATATTTAGTGAGACGAAACAGGATAAAAGTTAAGGCAGGATTTAGTACTCTTCCTGCCCCTCCTCCCCCCCCACACACACAAACACAAGATATTGATACTTGTGACCCACGTTTTGGCCACCAACCCTCCTCTCTTTCCCCCCCCCACCCCCACCCCAACAATATCGCTTCTGTGCACCAATAATTAGCATCTCTTGCTAAATCCGCTGCTGCTCTAATTCATTGTTTTCGAGAAGTCCACAATGTAAGTCGCGAAACATTCAACAGGAGATTCATTGTTGGGTAATTTAAGACAATCTCATTAGTACGCAGGCCCGTTCGCACGATTTGATAAGCTTCGCTTGCAGAAACGTCCAGTCAAAAAAAAAAAACACTTTATGTAATCCCGAGGTGAGGGCTTGAACCCACAACCTTCTGACTCTGAGGTGGGAGCGCTACCCACTGAGCCAGGCTGATGCATACGGTGGCAGGACTGTTGACAGGACTGCTTTAGATTGCGCACCGAAAGTAACTTGGGAAGTAAGTTTGCAACAGTTTCGAGGCAATTTTAGGAAGTGGAGTCCTTAATCGGCCGTTGGCCCGTCTAACCTATCTGCCAACATCCAGGTGTCAGAACATTTTGTCGATGTGTGCTTTGGTTTTTTTTTCATGCTCTCTCCACTTTCAATTCTGCTGTGAGCTTTGTATCAAGTCACTTGGTTTGAATATGTTCCCACAGACAATTCGGGTGAGAGGAGCAATGGGGACTAATGTCCGCTCTTGTATTGCAGATGATGCCTTGTGTGTCTCAAAGAGTTCTGGCAACCTGACCGGCTGCTCTGTGTTTGATGTACCTTCAATGTGCGCAGGTAAGAGCACCAGTAGCCCCTTTCTCCACCCCCAACACCGCCCCCCTCCTCCCCTCCGCCCCAGCAAAATGGTCATGATCTCCCTGCACTTAACCTGCCTGGAGGACAAGTCGATGGGGAAAACTAATGGAAAGTTGTGGCCTTGAGACCAAGAGTCAGAGTGCATTCATTTGGGAACGAGGGATGTGTTCGTATGTTCAGTGTGACTTGAGTGAGCTGTGGGTGTGAGAAGATTAAAACTTTATGAAACCTTCAGCAGTGTGATGGTGACGTGTCGGCCTGCCTTGTGCCTGAGCTGCTCACTACCTGTTAGCACGTTAATGAGCCCTGAAACCCGATGACGTTGCTTTGCTGCTTGTGTGTTAATGTTAAATGAATATTTGATATTTCACCAAATCACGTTGCACCTTTAGAGCTATTTCTGTTCTTTTGAAATGGAGCGCGGCCAATTAACCCCTGCATCACTGTCCGAGCAGAAACAACCACAAAATGGACAGTCAGCTCACTTTACGGTGTGTACTGTGAAGCGCTTTGAGACGTCTCAATGACATGATCAGGTGCTGTATCGAAGGCAAGGATTATTCTAAATAATTTTCCATGGGCTGTTGGTATTCGGCTACTTCAGCTGTAAATCGCTGCATTTTTTTTGGAGGTGCCTTCGTAAAACCAAGGTCCCGTCTGTTTGCCAACAACCTCTCGGATAAAAACTTGTCCTTACTTCACGGCAGTTTGGGGGAAGTTGCTCTGTGCAAATTGGCTGCTGCGTTCACCTAGCAAGTAATGCACGCAGCCACTATGCTTTACAGTAAATCCCGCGCGGTACAAATGTATGTTGCATTGTTCAAAAAGAGCATTGCAATTCTGCCGTAAAAGAGCGTGTGTTGAAGGCTGATGTATAGTGGTCATTTTCTCTCTCTCTCTCTCTAGTGCTGCAATGAACTGTTTTTATTCAGTTGCACAACTTTCCTTCCTCCAAATAACTGCACCAATAATATAAACAAGCTGTTGCAATTAGCAGTTTTTTTTTCAAATGATTGGAATTTCACCTTCATCCTTGCGAGAGGGTTTCACGTGAACTCCCTCCCAAAAGCCTGTCCCACTCAGCTGCGGGAAGATTTCTGAAGTTATTTGGAGGCTCTCTGTTCATTACTCACTGCAGGTGCCCGAGTTATCGCTGGCCATCTGACAGTACATCCAAAGGCTTTGTAATTATTTCCCGGCCGAGTGGATGGAGGTAATGATAAAGGCTGAGTCACTCTGCACAGCTCAGGGCACTTCAGAGGTGCATAATGATTTGCAGTGCTACGTGTGTCATACTGGAGTCCTGGAGTCGTGGAGTCCTGTAGTGTAGAGGTTAGAGCACTCGCTTCGCAAGAGAGCGGACTCGAGTTCAATTCCTGGGCAGGGCAAAACGTTAGGCAAGTTTCCTCTGCCTCTTTACCCTTGCGGGAAATAGCAACCCAGTTAGTTAGTCGATTGGTAGATCGCTTTTCCGGGAATAATAATCCCCTTTTTTAAAAAAATACATAATAATAATTTGGTCGCTCAATCCACGACTGTTTGTGGGACACCGCTGTGCGCAGTTGCAATTGGCTCAATCGTGTGAGGTTTCGACCACATTATAAACAGTCAATTCACTCTTCAGTATATTCTGTGAAGCGCTTTGAGACGTCCTGAAGCTATTATTATTATGACCGGGTGATAACAGTTGAATGGGGGGATTCACAAGTACAGTGAACTCTGCCCCACTACATTTATTGCAAAATGGAACAATTGTTTCTGAATTTGAGGTGTTTTGCTGGAGGAAATTCCCCAGATTTCTTTTCTGGTGGTGAGTCGATGGTTTTTTTTTCCCCGTAGTTCCCTATGTGGTGAATGCCTGAACTTTTTCTCATGTGGGGAAAGTGCACACAGAGGGAAGTTGAAATTCGACATAAGGAATTGGTGAAATGTATCTCCCAGTTGACTGGTTCGAGTGGCCACTTTTTTTTTGTCCTTTGTGGGAATGGATACCTACCTTATTTTTGTGTGATTGCGACTTAACCCACGAGTGCGTCCGTTTGTTCCATCGCTCAGCCAGGCTGCCGGGCCAACAAAATCACAATCAATCTGGATGGGGGGAAAAAAAGGCCCTTCGGCCTATTTAATCTCTTCCCAGAATATCAACCCAGCTGTGCCTTCCTGTTACAGTGTCGAGTTCCAGTTATTTAAATGAACCCGAGTATCCTCACTATTTCTGGTAACCTTGTTCCAGATGTTTAGATAAGTAACTCTACGAGTGAGCCTTTTATTCACAGCTGTTACGCTTAAAGGCAATGTCCATTTTTTTTAAAGCATCAATTTTCCTTTTGGTAATACACGTCACTTTAATTCTTCTATCCGTCTCTCTCCCTCAGCTCTGCATCTCACCACTGTTGATCGTGTTCCTGTCTCCAACACCACTCTCACTACCACCACCTCCACAGCAGGTAAATGGGGAAAAATAGTTGCTGCGATATTTCCTTCCTTCACCACCCAACTCTGTGATCTGTTTAGAAAACCTTCTTATTTTTAATTAGGGAAAAAAAAACTTTCAGCTTACTATAAACCTTTCTGTGGAGTGTCCACTGGTAGAATATGACTGGGCGGAGAGCGATTGAGGGAGATTCTGTAGTGTTGAACACAAGTAGTATGGAGAGAACTGTTTGCCTAATGATTGCATTGATTGAACAGTAATAACTAACGACATTTTTGCTCTTCTTGGTCTATCTTCTGTTCCTTTTTTTTCCCCAATCCGCCCAATCATCCAGCGACTGTTACCACCACTGCTAAGGAAATGCCCTCCACTACTGCAGGTATGCAATCCCTAGAAACTAGATGCATCCCCTCCCTCTAATGACCCAGTAACCCTACTTACACCATTAACTTCTTTGGGTTTTATCTGTGTTCATAATCAAGTGGCGTGTCTCTTTTTTTGATAGTCTGTGTGATTAGCTAGCTATCGTATACTTTTTGTGGGGTAATTTTTGTCTGGCTCACGCAGAAACCCATCACCGTGTTTTAAGGGTATCCAAACCATACTGAGAATTCCACGCATCCCATTTACACCTGGAAATCCCAGAGATAGATTGTTGGAATGGAATGCGCACCCCCTCTCTCACTCTCTCCCTCCCTCCCTGGAGGGACACATCCTGCTTACTTAATTCCAGATAATATTAGGCACAGGTTGGCAAGAGCCAAGGCTTGGGAGGGGACCTCAGAGTGTGCATTGGGGTAACTGCTGGTGTCTAACCAGCTAAAACCGCACAGCTTGCCATTGATATCCCTGTCTGCCCAGCTTTCCCACCGTTTGTCCAGCTCGGACCACCCTACCCATTAGGGCTTTGGCTCGTAGGATTAACGGGAGCTGAATGGGTTGACTATTCAAATGCTTACAAAAAATTATTTTCTTTTTAAATAGGGCGGGGGGGCGGGGGGGGGACATTGTATGTAAAAAGCCGTCCTCGATGTTAAGTTTTCGTTTCACAAATTTGGGTAATGTTAAGTGTCTGCCACGACTCTGGAAGGTATTAATTAATCCTGTTCGAAACCCGTTGCACAACGACTCGCAGTGAAATGTTTCCACGGATGAAGTAATGAAACGCAGCAGCTTGCTGACTCACCTTGCTGGTGGAGATAATGAAGAGAACCGTATCTTGTTGATCTCACCATTTCTTTTCATTGTCGATTCGTGTCAATTACCTTAGTTCTCCAAGTAGGTTAAATCCCCGAGCAATATTTCTTTCCAGGTTGCAAGGCTTATTTCCCCAGCCCCCTCCCCCACCTTTATCCTCTTTGAAAATCAACCGAGCCCCTTGTGAAAAGGTTTATTTTGTTCGCACGTCTCTGATGTGTAAAGACCAGAGTTTAAGTGAGATTAGGTTATTACTTATTAAAGCCAGTCCGGAGAAGGCACATTAATAATTGAATAGGTGCTGCCTTGATATTGGGTAGCATTTCATTCACTCGAAGCAGCCAAACTGATCCAGTTGTAAAAGGAGTTAGAAATCTTGAATTACTTTGTGTCACTGTGAGTCAGGTTTAACTGTGAAGCCTTTATACCGCCAGTACCCCCCCCCCCACCCCCAGCGCTATTTGGAAATGCTAAATTGACTTCCTTTTTTCTCTTTGGAAAAACAAGTTGGTGTTGGTGGTGAACATTGAGGCACAAATAAGACCAATTAATTTAAGTGAATTAGACTCCAGCAGTCACCCCAAGCCTTGGCTCTTGCCAACCTGCTCCTAATACTCTCCAGAATTAGGAAAGCAGGATGTACTCTTAAGCCCGGTGACGGGTTTCAGCGTGTGACAGACACCCGGTAGACCAAAAAAAAACACAATTCATTTTGATGGATCATCCAGTGGATCTCTTTGAGGCCTGAAAATCCATTTTGACTTCAAAGATTTTAAGATCGCACAGGATTTGTAGAAACTTCTTGATTTCTGTGAAAGAGAGATCAGGCTTCTCAATGAAGACTGGACATAAGAATACAGAGAGGGTGGTTTTACAGGTTAATATTAATATAATAATCCTTGCATTTGATATAGAGCTACTCACATCTTGTAGGCGTCTCAAAGCGCTTCACAGAATATACTGTAAAGTGAATTGACTATCTGGACAAAACGCTGCAGCCAATTGTATTTTATTTACTTATTTTCTTGAGGGATTATTATCAGGTGTGTGGAGTAAGGAAACTTACCCAAGGTTTTTCCCTGCCGGAAATCGACCCCAGGTCTCTCGCTTACGAAGCGAGTGTTCTAACCACTGAGCTACAGTATCATTTTAGACCTCTGTATTTTAAAGCCAGATAGTTTTAAGGATGGTATTATTCCCAAACTCTGTGCAGATGGACTGGAAAGTCCCACTGGAGATTGGGACTCCATTTTTTGTCTTAGAAGTGCTATATTCTGCCTTCCTTTAGGTTCCACTGCCCAGCCGAGATGGTTGGTAGTTGTCTTGCTCCCAGGCACAGTTCACCTCTCCTGCAGTTTCCTCTTCTTCCCACCCCCCCGGGAGGAAACCTCTTGCCCAGAAGGACCAGCTGGGATCAGGAACTTGCTATGTGGAGAATCGCAGGCACATTTGTACTTGCACCAATGCAGTGGCCTACCAGGTGACCAGACACAAGAGTCCGTGCAGAGAGCATCCACCAAAGTTCCAGTTTAAGCCATCGAATATTTTCTCCAAAGACTTAATATCAATATTCACCAAATGCTTGCTCCAACAGAGAATATGTGGAGCAAGTATACTGTAACATGTGCTCAGCGTAAGGCTATTGAGATATTTTAGTAATGCAAGCGGTAAAAGCAGTCTCACTCGAGTAAGACTTGGAACCATATCTGAGTCTATTTGAGTTAGTGAACTCAGAACCAGAGATAATTATTTTGAAGATCTTTCTGAATGAATGTTTGTTTGCCTCGACACATTTCATACAACTAACTATTTCCCTCCCATCTTCCCCCACCCCATCCCACATAATGTTTCTTGATTTAGCTGTGATGTAGTGCCCAGTTAACTAACTACAGTTAATGTGAAACGAAACTCATCCTATTTCCGAATCGAATAACATTTACTCCACAGAACCAGAGTCTGTGTGCAATTATGCTTTTGTGTGATGTGAATAGTGCAAGCTTGACCCGTTCAGGGCCTTGGGGCTTCCTCCCGAATTGAAAGGCCCTATGCAAATGCAATGTTGTCGTCGTCGTGACCGTTGCATTTGATACAGCGCCTCATCACGTCTTCGAGACGTCTCAAAGCGCTTCACAAAATATACTGCAAAGTGAATCGACTGCGTTTTTCTGGGCGAAACACGGCAGCCACTTGCACACGGAAGTGACCCGCCAAAGGTCGTGGAATTTATCATCACTGTTATAATAAACTTCTGCAGCTTATCATAAAGAAACTCTTCACAATTGGATGCTCGGACATTTTGCAGCCAGATTCTTTGTCTCCGGCAGGAAGCACCACTCCGGTCCCCACGACAGGCCCCGTGTACTCGCCCACCACCTTCGACCCAGCCAGCTTCATTGGAGGGATCTTGTTGGTCCTGGGGGCGGAGGCGCTGGTCTTCTTCGCCCTCAAGTACTTCAGAACGCGAGAGGGGACCTACCAAACTCTGTAAGAGCCAGTTCCACTTCTCTGCGTGCTGTGCCATTGCCGTGCTGTGCTGCCAACTTTTTCTTTGCTCCTTTGCTGTGCGAATCCCTGACTGTACAGTGCCTTGGGACGTCCTCGTGACGTGAAAGGCGCTGTTTAAACGTCGTTTGTTGTTGTTGATCTAATTCCCCTGTATGCTTGCCCTTTCGCATGCTTTGTGCGGTGCTTTCTGGTCGATGTAGCATGACTGTCATTTTCCTTTTCCCTCCCACCCACCCCCCTCCCCCACCCAATCCCCCCCCACCCCCCCACACACCTAATTTTACCCTATGTGACTCGATATACAAATGGAAGTTATTGCACTCTGAAGCCTCACAGACCTGCGTTTAATTTTGATTCATGCAACTTGCGCTCTGGGTTTGGCCCTCCTGTAGCTTTAAGACTTTTTGGATTCAATGATCAAATGTTGAATAAATTCAAACAAATTTGCACCGAAACGACAAGTATCTCTTAAATGCCACAGGTTTCATAACAATAAAATTTTTATAATAACGTGTGCCGTTATCACAGTGGTGGCTTTTGACACGATCATCACAGCGATAGCGACAATCAATGGGCTTTATTTTGTGTTAACTTCCTGATCCTGAAGCCGATTTCTGGTACTCCCAACGTCGGAGCTGAATTTTTTTAAAAAAAGATCGAAATCTAGATTTATTTTTGGATAGAATATATATTTACACTCATCCCAACGGCAGCGATGAATACCGAGTTGTTGGGAATCAATTCCACAGCAGTAATGTGATCAGTCACACAAATACTCCAGCTTTATCCTCTTGTGGTTTGCGATGCCTTTACGATCCCTTAATTGCTATTTGTAATCCACTCCCGCCCAACTTGGATCCTTGGGGTATTACATCAGTCGGTTGCCCTGTTATGACTTGGGTAATGTTTGTGGGAGCTTAGAGAGGATCTGTGATAAAACGATGAATTCATTCCAACCAATGTTGCTATCAGTATTGTATGAAATACTCTAATAAATGTGTTTCCATTGAGGCGTTCAACAAGAAACCAAGATATGAAAGGATTTCTAGACTAGGCCAGGATGCCACCTTGAGCCAGGATAAAATAAATCATTGCTCTTTAGTTTGGTTGGGGAGGGGGTGGAAGAATAGTTTGTGACCTAAGATTTTTTTTTCTTAACCTTCTGTTTGCTGTTGGTGTTTGTTTGGTGTGAGTGGAATCTTATTATTGCAACCTGGGATGGGAACTAACTCAACCGTTCATCCAGAGATTAGAATAAATAACGATCCTTAAGTTTGATAAAGCGCTTGATCACATTTCCGAGACGTCTCGAAGCGCTTCACAGAAAACACTGTAAAGTGAATTAGATGTAATATTTTGTGGGCGAAACGCGACAGCCAATTGCGCCCAAACAAACAAATTAGTGGATTGAGTGACCAAATTATTATTGTTATTAGATTAAAATCTTCTGCTGTAATGCTCGTTCATTTGGTTTGGGAACAGGGGAGAAGACGTGCGCTGGTGCTTGTACTAATAAGGTTCTATCGTGGTTTGGGGGTACCGGCTAGGTATTGTTTTGTGTGCTTCAACTATGTCTCTTTTTTGTTTTGTTTTCACCTTAACCCCTCCACATGCTGCACGTAGTGAGGAGCCCCAGTAGATTGTGTAAGAACTGGCTGCAACGCAACCGTTTTAAAGGAAGGAACTATACAGTCCGATTGTCCGTACATGAACTTCGAAAGCAAAAATTCCATTTACTGAAACGCCTTTCCAACGATACTTGTCTTTTTTTTTTAAGCGCCTTTTTGTTTGTGTGCTGTGCATTTGCTAATATGTTCAAATTCTGTTTACAGTTCTTAGCGGTGATCCAGTCTAGTTAATGTGGTACTTACTGTTATGCATAAACCGGACTTTACTATATATATATATTAAAAAATACGTTAAATCTATGGGACGGGCTCCCTAAGAAGATGGTGGAAGCAGAAAATGTTGATTCTTTCAAATGCAAATTAGATTGATTCCTTTTAGGAAAGTAATATTTGGGAATACAGTACGAGTCGTTCAGGACATGACAAGTGTGTACGACTGCCAGGAGGGTGCGAGGCGAATTGGATGGACCTTGGTCTTTTTTTCGTTTAGCATTTCCTTTATTTACTGTGGATTTACAGGCCACTTATGTCCACCGTGAGACGCACAAGAAATGAGTAGTATTGGGGTGTGTCACAGATGCTTTTCATCTGTATTGTTGCTGATGGTTTCATTTAACTAATGTCTGGTTGTGGGGCTTTCCTGTGGAATTGACAAGTTACTCTTCTTCAATGCTGGTTTTATTCTCATTCTTTCATTTGTTTTTTCTTTCATTTCCGTTGTAGTTTGGGGTAGTGTGTGTGTGGCGTGCATTGTGTTTTTTTTTTTGCAGTTCCTCTGCTATTTGTTTGGCGGGGACGGAGAAGGCCTTTGCCAAAGCCACTTTTCAACCATTTAGTTGCAATTGCAACTAACATAGGTCCAACCAGTGTCCCTTATCACCATTGTTTTGCCCTATTTTATTGCTTTGTGGTTTTTTTTTTAAAAAAGTGTAAAACTCAAAGCTTTCACTGAGTAATTGCTAACTTTCACTCGGTATCTGTGACTTGCTCTTTTTTTAACAATAAGCCAGCAATGGTTTGTCTTATGTATTCCTGACACTTTTACCCTTAAGAGCCAGCTTAATTAATGGGGTTAAACAGCTGGTCTTGTTTGATACCTGCGTCATCTCACAAGCTCCACGTCAGGTTGAGATTCCACTCGGTGTGCACCCCAGAGGGTGGGCAGGATTGGCCTCGGAAGACAATCCCTGAATGAATCGCCAACACTAGCTCGGTTCCAGTTCGCGGAGGTCAAAGACTATTCTGGAGAAGTATTATATTTCAACCTCCTGCTTGGACACCAGCAATCAAACCTTCCCTGTTGTCCTCGCTTTACCTGGGGCTATGTTTCTAAACCATTCCAGTGTTTGATGCTTGTCGACACCTGCACAGTGTGAAATTTGAGCCCAGGTAAACCAAAGAATGCTACTCCCTAAATTAGGGGGGGCTCCAACTGGCATTCCCCGCCCCCCGCCCCCCCAACCACACTCCACCTGGCCCACCTGCTCCCTCCATTAACCCGTAAATGTTCTTATGTTGTGTTTCTGGAAGGGAAACACAAAAATATTGCTTGTTCGGCCCGCAAATGTTTCTCAAATAGGACATCCGTCCCTCGGCAGCCAAAAGGTTGGACCCCCAACACCACCCCCCACCACCCCCATCACTCTAAATGTTACTCCGGCATTATACACGGTCTTGCAGCATTGTATTTAGCGAGTGTTTGATGCTAATGCTCTTGTTAATGTGAATTTTTTTTACTTTTTAATTCTGTATTCTGTTGGAATAGGATATGATCACAAAGGATGGAGGAAACAAGCTGGAAGTGGCCAAAATCTCTGCACATGGGTTTTCCAACAAGCGCCTTGTTTAAATGAAAGTTTTCTTCAATGAAGTTGTTGTATTTATATATTTGGATGTGATATTTTTAAGGGTCCATTTGACCCTCAGAATTTATTGGCTTTTTTTACATAAAAAAGGCAGAACCAAATTCTTAATTGATTTGTATTATATTCCCATTGAGGATATAATCTTCCTGGAACACAAATGATGCACAGTAACATTCTGTCTCTTGACCGCAGAAATATTATTTGAAATTTTTTTGAAAGGCTTTACAACTTTTTAACGAAACCGAAAACCTTCCATCAATGCTTTTCGGATCAGCAACTTTTCCGCTTTTAAAAGAAACAAAAAGTTTTCAGTAGAATTGAGTGAGTTAGTTTTAACAAATATCTTGAATTGTGATTTTTGTTTTCATATTTCACGTCACTGATTTATCAATTTCCAAAACATTGCACGGCAAAGTGAAAAGAAGAAAAAGGGGGGAGATGAGGGGGTGAAATATTTTGCTGTTTAATACAGAGTGGAAGAGTGCTCTTTGTTTTAATTGCAATATTCGAGAGGCAGAGGAAATGATGTTACTTGAGTATTGTGCTGGTGGGAGCCTCATTGATTCAAGAGTGCTTGCAATGCATTTGAGATGATGGCATATCCCCCCCCCCACCCGCTCTGCTTATCTTTGCTCCTACTCTGGTTGATCTTGTCTTTGTTTTTAAAAAAAGAAGTGTTTTTAACAATTTTTTAAAAAATTACAGCTGACTTTCCAACTTTTATTTTGCTAAAATACTCTTCAAACTTACAATATTTCCCCGAAATCTGCATTAATCTTCTGGTTAGATACATGTATAGGTCTCTGTAATGGAGCAAATGGATGCACAGGGGTACGTGCTAACACCGTTAAGTAACTCGCAGGGAGATGCAAATAATAATCCTTGTCATCGAGGCGTCTCAAAGCGCTTCACAGAAAGCGCTGTAAAGTGAATTGACTGTGAGTGAGACGCGGGAGGCAAATTGCCCAGGAAGAAGATGTTCAAGAGGAGTATGAGATGCCTTGCCTTTTGCTTGTGCCTTTTGTGTTTTCTTTCCCTCTCGTCTCCCTTGTTCTATTCTGCTCACTGGATCATTCATGTTGTTCTCTGCAACCAGTAAATTTCTTTTAGGACGTGCTAGGGTTCTTACAGTGAATTTACTGATGCGATTTGCAGGAAATCTTAGCATTTGTCTTGATGGCGTGCATGTGTGTTTTTCACTGATGCCGTTGATCCGTCTGGCAATGACTAATACAGTACCGAAACTTCACAATCTGTGCTTTATACAGGAAGCCAGAAAGTACAGTTGGCAACGCAGAACTTTCCCGAACGTGCACCCCTGAAACAAGATAGAAAGAGTGAGAGGGAAATAGATATTAATGTGGTTTGGAGAGAAACTGAATATCTTCAGAGTTGAATACAATATTAGATTTGTGTAGCACCTTTCACGTTGGGAGGATGTCCCAAGGCACTGGTGTCAGAGGGAGATGGGCTACATTAAAGAAAATTGCACTCACAATTTAAAACCCCATTTCTGCACTAAAATCTTACGTCTTATAAAAAATGCATTATTAATAATATTTGGAGTTAGGGTAAATTAAAAAGAATCCATTGGCTGTCATGCCACCCACGCACGCACAGCAAATTAAACTCTTGTGGTCTTATTACTTGAGAGAATATCTTTTAAATTTTAATTTTTTCATCTGAACATAAAATGGAGATTTTTTTTTAAAAAGCATATTGGCCTTGCATTTCAAGTACAGGTCCATTTTGATTGCTTAGTGAAAGGTTTTTTTTCATTCATCATCCAACTATCTCACAGCTTTTTGAGGCCCTAAAAGTTGCAAAGGAAGTTTTACTTTTTTTTTATACGTGAATGGAAATGTGTAAAATAAAACGGATAAAAATGGGAAGCGCGGTTTGACATTTTTGCGATAAGCTTATGCAGTGAACTTAATTTGACTCAATTTGATACTTACCTGTACACAAAACACCCGTCCAACTTCCTTGCGAAGTCAAACCCTGCCCTGCAGCTAACGCAGAAATTGCTACCGTTATGTTAAAGATGTCGCAGTCAAGTTCAAGCTATGGTCTAAAGTGCGGCAAACTTCTTTTTAATCAGAAAAAATGCAACACGCTCTGATACAAACTTAATTTGGCTTTATTGTGCCCTAGTTTCCATGCCTTGGTGTTAAGGCTTCAGTCTCTTAACCTTTGCCCCACTTACAATACCTATGGACTCACTGTCATTAGAAAGGCTGTGTTTCTTTTAGTACATCACTGATCTACTCCCCTGTATCTGAAGCTCAAGTACTGGAGCTGTTTCACCTGCACTTTTTAGGAAGAAATGGCTATTGCATATTGTTACCAATTCCAGTATGCGCACTGCAAATCACTTGATTACAAGGAGGCTTGTAGCAGATAATGCAACAGATGCACTGTCTAAAAAGTGCCTTTAGCACGCGAGTCTGCCTACAGTGAGACGGGACATCTAAAACAATACGACTTCCAAGTCAACCCAAGGACCGGCAAAAATATTAATGATAATAATTGACACAGCGCCTTATCACGTAGTTGTGATCCATTGCAAAGTGTTTGTGGGTGAACGGAGGGTGGGAGGGGGGTGTGAAAATCCAACTATATGAATTTTCAGGCCTAACGTGTCCAATAGATTAAAAACAAGCTTTTCATGGCTTTGGGTAGATAATGAGTCCAGGCATTTGCTCAACGGTGCAAACGTCCGTATGTCTCTGGCTCACAGCTGAAGGTTTCTACGATGGTTTCACTCTTGTAAAAAGAACTGACTGCCATAACTGATCACCAGTGAGTTGGCTGATATTTATTTTTTGGCAATGAATGAGTTTCTTTCTGTGCTCATGTGTGGTTTTTTTTTGTACACCGGATTGTAGGAAAGTGCTTGGTCGGATTGCACTGTTATATTTTGATCACTCTTACATAATGCTTGATGATTGCTGGTACGCGGTTGCGTACCACTGATACAGTCTCACTGCTCTGCTGTTTAGCGTGAAGGGTTTTGGCGTGAAAAGATTAAAGATCTGACTTGAACTTAAAACGGCTGTCACCGGGGGGCCTTATTTCCTTCCATTTACCCCTGATTAAATTAAGCTTCAGTTTAAAAATAGCGTGCACAGTTTTGTGCTGCCAGCCCCTCAAGCGGAGAACGAGATGTCCCTCTGCTGGATGCACTGGCGGGAGCGGAGCTGCTGTCGTGGTATCTTCCCCTTTGGCGCGTGTGCGCGGCTGGACATTTGCGTGGGTGCCTGGGGCGGGGCGGTGGGTGGGTGTGTGTGGGGTGGGGGGGGGTGGGGTGGGATAGCATCCCGACCCATTCAAACGGTCCATTGTAAGACAAGAACGCCCCAACTAAGCCGCTTGCTACTTGGACACGGGCTTCCTTTCCCCCCTCTTCTGACGACCCGAAGCGTGCGGCTGTTTTATTGAACTCTTTTTTTAGAGCTCGATCCAAATTTAAGAACAGACGCGAAACTTGACGCCGCGCGAGCGATTGGCGCGGGGGGTGGGGGGGGTGGGGGGGGAGACGCGGGGGTGGAGTGGGGGGGCGTGTGGTGGGGGGCAATAGATCCTTTTTAATCCTCTTTAGTCCATTTTCCAATGGGTTGGAAGCGCTCCGCTGGGGGGGGGTGGGGGGGGGTGGGGTGGGGAGGGAGGTTGACCGGAAAGTGTAGTGACTGCGCTTTTTTTTCCCCCCCCCGGGGACGGAGGGCGGAAGCGGCTAATTTGCCCACAAACAGCCGTGGAGTGAACGGAATTTTTTTTTTCTGGACGGGTTGTGTGTGTGGGTGTGTGTGTGGTGTGTGTGTGGGTGTGTGTGGGGGGTGGGGTGGGCTATGGGGGTGAGAGAGAGGATGGAGGGTCCACCCCCCTCCCCCCCCTCTCTCTCTGCTTGTATTGAGCTGTCAATCAAAGCACAGGCTGACAAAAGGGGGGCGGGGCGAGGCGGCCTTCGGCGCCTGCGCCGTGAGGTGCCGCGGGTCACGCTCGGCGGCAGCTTGACGAGCGCCGGGGGCTTTGTGACGACACGGCCCGACCGACGCGCGGGCCGGCCGACCAATGGGAGCGAGGGGCCCGGCGGCGGGCAGCCAATCGGAGGGGCGGGTGTGAGTGTGGCGGGGGGCGGGTCCAGTCAACTAAGTTTGGTGGCGGGGCGGATGACGTGGGGGAGATGCGCTGACGCACGCGCACTCGCTCCCTCCCACCCATCATGGCCGCTCTGTACGCCTGCACCAAGTGCAACCAGCGCTTCCCCTTCGAGGCGCTGTCCCAGAGCCAGCAGCTGTGCAAGGTGGGTGGGTGCGGGGAGCTGGATGGATGGGTGTGGGGGGGGTGTGCGGGACGGGGGTCGTCGAGGGCGGGACCGAGCGGGTGATGGGAGAGAGAGAGAGAGAGAGAGAGCGCGAGACGTTGAGGTCAGGTGACGCCCTCACGTCAATCAGCGGGGGAGGGAGGGCGGGGCTTAGTTGGGCGGGTTTCACGCCCGATCGGGCGGGTTTCACGCCTGATCGGGCGGGTTTCACGCCCGATGGGGCGGGTTTTTCTGACTGCCCTGTGCGTGAGGACGATGATGATGATGATGATGGTGGTGGTGGTGATGATCATCGTCAACAACAACAACAACAACAACGGCACGATGACAGCTGCACAGCGCCGTTCGCGTCGGGAGGACGTCCCAAGGCGCTGGACGGCGAGCTGGGGTCGGAGGTGGTGGGGGGGGGGGGAGGGGGAGAAGGGAGGGGAAGTGGGGTGGGGGGTGTGGTGGCCGATGGCACGGTCGAAGAGGAGGGTCTTGAGGCGGGACGGGAAGGAGGCTAAGGAGGGGCGAGGAGGGGTGACTGGGGGATGGAGTTCCAGAGGTCGGGGGTTGAGGGTGGGGGGGGGGGGCAGAGTGGCTGCAGGCTCTCCGCCAATGGTGGGGTGGGTGGGTGGTGGGGTGGGTCGGGGGGCCGTGGCGCATAATCCTAATCGTAATCCTCGCATTTGACACGGCGCCTCATCGCGTCCTCCGAGACGTCTCAAAGCGCTTCGCGGGATACACTGTAAAGTGTAGCGACTGTACATTTTGCGGGCGAACCGCCCACAGCGACCAAACTCTTCTTCTCATGTTTTTTTTAAGGGATTATTAACCCCCTCCTCCTCCCCCCCCCCCCCCCTCCCCGAAACCAATCCGCCAATCAACTAACGAGGACCAGGTTTCTACTCGCTGATGTTCCCAGTTATTTACTGACTTCAGTTCTGACGAAGGATCGTGGACCTGAAACGTTGACTCACTCCATATGTACTGTCTGACCTCCTGAGCGACTTCTGTTTTTGTTCCTACTTACTGTAGGTAAACAGAGGCCTGTGTGGGAAGTAAGGAAATTTGATAAAACGCCTTTGGGCGTGTGCCTAATTTTTTATTTGTTTAATTCAAAAGCCACAAAACAAGTATCTCCTCCCTCACACCCCCTTTGAAGACTTTTTCCTACCCAGGCGCCTGTGGAACCTTACCCCGGAAGGCAAAACGTCTTCAGGAAAAGGGGAAAAATAGATTGCACCTTATTTGTCAAATGATAGAATGGGATTTAGTATCTTTGATGGGTTCCCTAGACTATGTGTTTAATATATTGTTATATTGCCATACCTATTCGCCCACGAATATACAGTCAATTCATTTTAGAGTATATTCGATGAAGCGCTTTGAGATGTCTCGAAGCCTTGATAAGGCGCTACATCAAATGCAAGGATTGTTTTTATTGTTATACTGTAATTATTGGATGTTTCACACTTTTCTGAATTCTGCAGTAATCAAATTGTCCTTTCTTAGGAATGCCGAATTGCACATCCCATTGTAAAGTGCACTTATTGCAGATCAGAGTTCCAACAAGAAAGGTAAATACAGACTTATCACTAACCGAACAAAGTTAAAGTATGGCTTTTAATATGTCTGTAGGACATAAGAACCCATAAGCATTCTTCTCTCCTTTAGAGTAGCATAACCTTAGCAATATGTATTTTAACACTTTAATTCAGCTGACTCAACTGAAGTGAATGTAATCTTAAATGCGTTCGTTTTTTTCCCCAGCAAAACCAACACGATATGTAAGAAGTGTGCTCAGAATGTGAAACTGTATGGAACAGTAAGTATGAGTTACAAATGATTTTGTTGATTGGAATTTGTGTTCGATTATTGTCATTTTAACCCAGAAACAAGGATTCACGTGTACAGTAATTTGTGCGCCAGGTGCCTTTATATATCTGATAGAACAGCCAAGACATAATATTTTTACTGAGGGAGTATAATCGCCACCTTAAGAATCGTATTTAAATATTTGGTGGTGACTGGTTATTGTTTTTTCTTCGTTCACAGTAATCTTCTTAATGTCTTTTTTTTCTTTCAAAAGCCCAAACCGTGCCAGTATTGCAATATAATAGCCGCCTTTATTGGAAACAAATGTCAGCGATGTACAAACTCTGAAAAGAAGTACGGTTCACCTCAGACTTGTGAACAGTGCAAACAGCAATGTGCATTTGACCGAAAGGATGATAGGAAAAAGGTAAGTTCTTTAAATGCTATGTAAACTGGCTCCAAGGTATAATGGTGTTTACCACCCGATAGATATCAGCTTTGCTTCGCGCTGTACTGATCACTGATCGTGTGAAACATGCTTCTGATAATACCGTTGCCTCGTTTAGTCTGATCCTCTTTATTAGGCTCATAATAATCCCCACTTGTTTCCCTTGCACGAAGGTTGATGGGAAGTTGCTTTGCTGGCTGTGCACCTTATCATATAAGCGAGTTCTCCAGAAGACCAAAGAGCAACGGAAAAGCCTGAGCTCTTCATCGCACTCATTACAAGAAAAAGAACCATACACCAGACTCATCAGTGCTCATTACAACAGGTATATATAATGGTCGTCGAGTGTGGTATGAAGTGCATCAGGTGATTATAAAGGTGTGCCTAAAGCATTTCCTTCATTTATAGGCCTCTACATTGTAAAGTGTCTCATGTTTAGTTGGATGGGTGTGTTATCTAATGTGGTGTAGTTTGAGAAATCTTGCAGTGTTGCCTTCTCCTATCGTCAGATTTTGCTGGTACTCTTTGCAAACACCCCACCACAAAGCACTTTGACAAGACATGTTTGTAATCTTCCGTTCCAGCCTTATAGCACATTAAGTGGGAATGTTGTGAAACTAAATATCCGTTGCCACCCTGAATGTTGTCCAGTGAGTGCTGCTCCCAGTTGCATACGTACTGTGGTGTGCAAATACATTTTCTGTGTCTTGCAATGTTTTGTGCTGTGGCATTACCTCGGTTTCAAGCTAATCTTTTTGCCTTTTGTCCCCAGTCAGAAGACTTTATCTACATCTTCACTTCAGAATGAAATTCCAAAGAAGAAGCCAAAGTCTGATGGCCTGAGTGCAAATGGAGACAGGTGACTTTTTCTCTGAACACCCCTCAAGTCCCTGAAATTGGAGCATGGGCTGATGTAAACTGTCAGGCTTTATTTGACGACCACAACATCACTTTTGAAATTCCAAGGATTATTCTGTCTGTATGCCTGGACAACAAATGTAGAACCATACCCCAGTAAAAGAGAGAGCACTTGAGAGAGAAAAAAAATGTTGCAAGACAAGCAACTGCTGAGAATCATAGAATATTTCAGCACAGAAGGAGGCCATTTGGCCCATCATGCCTGTGCCGGCTCTTTTGAAGAGCTACCCAATCAGTCCCACTCCCCTGCTCTCCCCACATCCCCATAATAATCCCTCAAGAAAAAAAACAATAATAAATTGGTCACTTCAATTCCACAACCGTTTGTGGGACACTGCTGTGCGCAATTGGCTGCCGTGTTTCGCCCACAAATATAGTTAAATTCACTTTACGGTATATTCTACGAAGCGCTTTGAGACGTCTAGAAGACATGAAAAGCGCTATATCAAATTATTATTATTATCCTTGCAAATTTTTCCTTTTCAAGTACCTATCCAATTCCCTTTTGAAGGTTGCTATTGAATCTGTTTCCACCACCCTTTCAGGCAGTGCATTCCAGACTGTAACAAACCCACAGCAAGTCAATTAGAATCTGAAAGAGGAAACTCGAAGCATTTGGGGCATTACCCATCAAGGTTGATCTATTTTCTCAGATTATGATTGACCTGCTGTTCAGTCTGATTTTCAACTGTTCCAGGTTTTAAATTACATTTCTAAAAAAATACAATTGGGCTGGTCTTTCAACTGGTTTTGGTAACTCAGAAAAGAGGAGGGTGTTGTGTACAGACATGTATCTGTGGTAACAAAATTCTACACCAACACATTGTTTTTGTATCATTTCATTCTTGTATGATTCATTGTCTGTTTCGGAAAAACCCTCTTTTAGTCATCCAGACACTGAGAAAATAATCAGTTGCCTCATTTAAGCTACTCACTAGCACCCAATAGCAACTTCTGTAGAAATTTAGAAGTCAGTGAAGCTTTTGAAACCTTGGTTAAGATCTGGGCAGGTACATTTCTGCCAAAGAAATTGCAACTCATTCTGTTGTCTGTTGATTGAATCCACCGATTGTACCTCTTCAACGCAAAATCTCATAGAGCCATATCTTAGTTCCTTTGCCAGTTTATCTTTGGCCAAAGCACTCCTTCAAATGTACTCGGTTTGTAAGTAGGGGGTGGGCAAAGTGGCTTTGTAGGGTCTGTGCAATCCTTCCTTTGCTTTCAATTATAACTTTATTAGCTATTTGCAAATTTTCACAGTGTCAAATCTGGAGGTGAAAACATCCTGGAAGATTATGAATGGCACCTTGAAAACGACTAGTCGACTAGGTGAGCGCTAGGTGAATTTCTTGGGTAAATGCTGATGACAACTTTATATGTCATGAAGGCTTCTAAATTATTTAATATGGTTATGTAAAGACTGATTAAGGATGCATGAAAAGATAGGGAAAAGTCAGCGCTTCTTTATATTAAAAAAACTAGTTGCAGCTATCTTGAGACCCATCGGGGAAATTGGGAGCACCAGCATTCTGTGCCACAGCAGTGAAGACACTCAATCCTCACACCAACAACATGCATTTAAATAGCGCCCCTCACACAGGGTAGCGTCCCAGAGCACTTGACAGTGGCGGAGCGTGATGCCTAGCCGGGGGGGGAGGGGGAGGTGTCCGTATGCATGATCGAATAGGAATGTCATCAGGCGTGATCTGATGATGGGGAAGATAGGGGCAAGGCTGAGGGATATAGGAAGAGTGTTCCAGAGTTTCGCAGTTTCACCATCGAATTCCTGACCTTAGCTGCACTCTGAAAACATTCCATGGGGAAGAAAGCTCAAAAGAACATCAGTCCTAAGATGCAGCTGCAATTGTCCGGGCATCTGGTGCAGAGCAGTGCAGGCAGACTTAATTGCCAAGATATGCATTGCGTAGGGGGAGATCACACAACATTGAGATTTACCTTTCTAATTGCAGTTTAGTCATTTTTTCTATCCATCAAAATATTTTTTTTTCAAAAACTGCTTCCAAAAGCAGATTTGAGTCCACCTCCTGCCTGGCCTGAATGCAGTCATTTAGAGAATATTTAAAAATATGATCATTTGCATTTAATATGTAGGCAAATCAGTGAATGAGACGGAGTGATCGATTACAATCTGCGCGCGCAAAACAAGCCAGTCTGGTCGTTCATAGCGCTCACCCAGAAGGTAGTAGGCATTAGGAAAATTAATGTGTAGTCAAGCCCTCCTTTTAAGAATAACTTAGTTATAATGTTACACTCACTGGCACCTGAATTATCCTCTTCAATCTGATCTGATACCAAGCGCTTGCCATTGGCACACCAAAGAAAGAAATGGGTGTCTGAGCAGTACTTAATCCACTTTGCTGCATTGCACAAGAGCTGTCAAACTCCCAGACAGTTGTTGAAGTTTGAAGTTAGCTATCTGCTATGTCTTGTGAATTATTATTCTGGCTCATTACGTTACAGTAGGTGCAATACCTCATGGCATCCTTGTGTCCCATCAATGGCTACTGGATAGCAGTCTGGGGGGGGGAGCTCTGATAGGATTTTCCCTTCTTAGCCTAGGAGGCACAGAGGCCAATTGTTGTGCCCCTATTAACGCCAGTACTTCCCTAGCTGAGATAAAGCAATTTGTCATCAGACCAGGAACTTCAACAGACGTTGTTTCATTGTGAGAAAGTTTTTTCTATTCCTATGTCGCAACCAGCTCGCTCGTCATTTTCAAGGTAGACATATTTTTTTGACCCCCCCCACTCCTTTATTTTTCCTTCACAGCTGGCCCGAGGTTGGTATAAGCCATCTGACAGTTTGCAGTAATAATATAATCAACAAAAGAGAAGTCAGATTTAAGCAAATACATGAGTCCCTTTTCTCCTTTTTAGACTAATCTGTTGTAGTCGATTAATATTTTGGGTTGGACTTTTCATCAAAGCTGATGGAGGGTGACACCTGATGTATTAACCTACTCTCTTTCAGATACTAATCCACCTAATGTGGCGTTTCCAACGAGTTTTTGTTCTTGTTTCAGATTTCCAACATTTGCCAGTGTCCCTTTTATCTCTAGATGTTGATGGCATTCACAACTGAGCTGCTGCATTCCTATGTCTAGGTTTGAAATAATCCAAAGCCGTTTTATTTTAACAAAAACCTTGTTTATAGTATTAAATAGTAGCTGAACCTACATGGCTGGCGTTGGACAATGCAACGTCAATAAAAATGATACAATCAAACCACACCTTGTTGGCAGATTTCCAAATGTCAGCAGCTAGAGACAAAACTCTGACATTTGTTTGCTGCCACTGTAGATTGACAGTAAAATTGAAGTCCAAGCTGTCAAATGTATAGGGAAAATCATAGGAATTACAATACAAAAAGGAAGCCATTCAACTCACCGAGCCTCTGATAGTCTTTATCAGCCCTGATCGCTGTACCTTTTATTATTATTATTATAATAATACTTGCATTTGATATAGCGCCTTATCACATCTTTGAGACGTTTCAAAGCTCTTCACAGAACATACTAAGTGGATTGACTGTATATTTTGTGGGCAAATATATATTTAATATTGTTCGGTTGTAGCTTCAACTATGGCAAAGCATTTCATCTTCTAATCACACTACAGCTGGTGTTTTCTACCCTCTGTTGGTGTTTTCAACAAAGGGATGGTTTGAAAATGGTGTGTTAGAGAAATTTGGTCACTCAAGCCATGATTTGTTGTGGGACACTGCTGTGCGTAATTGGCTGTGCGTTTCGCCCACACAATACAGTCATTCCACTTCACAATGAAGTGCTTTGAGACATCTCAATGATGTAATAAGGCACTACATCAAAATGCAAGGGTTCTAATCAATGTGGAGATCTTCTCTTGAAAGCCCCTCTGTGCTACGAATAGACTGGTAGGGTCTTTTGACTCATCTTGGTTTCGGTTTTATAATTTTTACTGTTGCAGGTTTCCTCTATTGTATACACTCAAAGTGCGTACTCAAAAGATCAGCCTTTCTCTAGGTTTTGTTTTAAATCATAGTTAGTTATAGCTTCTCACAATAAAGAGTAAATATTTGGGGGGGGGGGGTGGTGCTCCATTGATTTCCCTTGCACATCACAATGCTTCTGTCATTACTGTTAAGATTTCTGTATACACATTCATTTGCTTGTGTGTTATTATTTTACTGGCGTGTGGAGTTTATTTAGTAAGTCATGTGTGCATGACCTTTTATGCCTGTTTTTTTCTCAGTTGTGTCTTCTGTCCACTTCCTTTTTGTGTTAAACAAAATTATCCACAGATTTACCAATCCTTCCACCACAGACATCCACACTCTCACCACCCCATCTGGTGCATTCATTTCTACAAAGGCTGATGTAACAGCAACCTAATGGGTTAATGTGCTCTGACATTGAATTTATAACCATACCAAGGACAGGGAAAATGGAGCCATTTTATAGGGGGTGTGTTGTCATTCGTGGGTGTAAAACAAAAGTAGTGTAAACAAAACAATTTAGTAATCAGATTTGTGTACTATATGACAACACATTACTCTAAAGTAGAGTTCTGAATGAGAATATTTAAACAGTGATTTCCAATTCACCAGTGTAAATATGGGCTTTGCTTTGTGCGTTCATATTACCCAATGTTCCAGTTGGCTTCAGCAAATCGAAGGATTAATATGGAGTGTGTATGACACAGCAGAGATTAGTCCACGACTGTGTGACGCAATTGGGAATAATGCACGTATTACTTAACGCCCACCACCACACACACTCGCACCTTCTCTCTGTGATGGATAAACTTTTCAGTTTGATTCATTAAATAATAAGGCCTGACGTGTATCAGTGTCTCTTTCTCTTCTGCAAACCCACTCCCGTGCCTCGGACGTACTGAGCCACCAAACATAAGAAAGGACCATGTTTGAAATCTGGTTGCGTAGTAATGGAGATATTACATTTAACAGGCTGAGGGAACTAAAGGTCAACTAGGATTCCCACTTATCTTTAGCTGTCCTATAAACCTTGCTGGAAAGTAGGTTCATGATGAGGTGTTGGGTGAGGATGGCTTGTTTGATGTGCACAATTGAGCCTCAAACATAAGGAATGGCTATATTTGTGACGGATGTATTTGAGACCATTGCCAACTTCAGGAGTAAAGTGGAGAAATGCAATTCACTTGGCAGTATATAGAGACCAATCACTGCCCTGAGAGAATACTGTTTGTTTCCTGCCTCCTGTGTTCTTATTTGACAGTGAGTGAATGGAGTGAATTGTTGTCACAGCCGTCGCTTTCCTCTTTTCTCTGACGCAGTTCTTCTCCGGATCTCGCCCTCGACTCGCCAGGCACCGACCACTTTGTGGTCATCACTCAACTCAAGGAAGAAGTGGCGACACTGAAAAAGATGTTACATCAGAAAGATCAGCAAATACTCGATAAAGAGAAAAAGGTGATATTGATGATAATAATCCTTGCATTTGAAATCGCGCCTTATCAACGACAACAACACCTTGCACTTATATAACGCCCTCCGCGCAGGATAGAGTCTTAAGAGTGTTTATCACGTCTTCGAGACGTCTCGAAGCGTTTCACAGAATATACTGTATTCTTGGGCAAGTTTCCTTACTCCACACAGAGCCTAATAATAATCCCTCCAAAAAACAAAACAATAATAAATTGGTCATTTTCATTCCACGATTATTTGTGGGACACTATTGTGCGCAGTTGGCTGCCGCGTTTCGCCCACAAATATACAGTCAAATCACTTTACAGTATATTCTGTGAAGCGCTTTGAGACGTCTAGAAGACGTGAACAGCGTTATATCAAATGCAAGGATTATTATTACTGTAAAGTGAATTAACTGTATATTTTATGGATGAAAAAAGGTGGATCATATTTAAAACAAATGTGAAGAGCACTATATAAATGCAAGTTGTTGTTGTGGCGGTGAGAGTGGGGCGAATGTAGGACTCCTTGCCTGAAGGAAAAAAGCACCAGTGTATTTAAGAGAGAAAATTGCTGCATTCACAAGGGAGAAGGGAGTAGAGTGGTGTTGGAGGGGTGGGGCTCATGTGGAGTGTAACACTGACACAGATTAATTGGGTCAAATTGTTTACTTGAGACCCGACTGAAGAAATCTGGGTGTGAATCATGACCTAACCAACGTAGCGTGTCAGAAGTCACTGTTCTGCGTTACCATGACTCTGCAACTTGTTTTATTTGTGATTCACTTCCTGCGCACGTCTTTCCTTCTCTACAAATTCTACAAAGTCAGTAAAACCACAGTTGAACTTGGCGGAGGTTGGGAAAAATGAAAGGTGTGTGTCTGGTCAAGAGCCCATCATATGCACCATTTGGGACCCCCTAACTATGGTTCGTTACTGATAATTAGACGGAAACCCATGTGGGGAATCATGCGAAATGCAAATTAGCCACAGCACTAACCCAACACTCCTTCCATCAGGAGTTATGCTGTTTCTATTGTACCACACTCTTCCTGTACTCTTTACTTTCTTTTTCTCACTCTTATTTATCTGTGTTGTTCTGTCTTTATATATAGTATCTGACTTTCTCTCTTTAAGTTTCTATTTCCATGACTTGCTTTCTCTTCCTCAAGCTTTTCTTTCTCTCGCTCGCTCTATCTCACACTAAATTGCTCAGTAAAGACACGTAGGGTCCTGTTTCACAATTGTGTTGAGTTGTGTCACATACATGTGAACCTTGTGGGTTTTTTTTTCTGGCCTTGCACGAATGCACATAAACTGACATCTGGATAGCCACGCTTGCAGAGTTGTTCTTTTGCGTTGTTTTTGTATTTCGCTTTAGATTTGTTTGATTGTGTGTGTGTGTCTGTCCGCTATCAGTTTTTCTACCTTAAAGAGATGTAACAAATTTGGTTATTTCAAGAAAATTTTATGAATTGTTTTGTACTGATTTACAGTATAAATGTGGTTCTGTTTTATCTGAAGATTACTGAGCTCAAAGCTGAGTTTCAGTACCAAGAATCGCAAATGAGATTGAAGATAAATCAGGTCGAGAAAGTGCACAAGGAAGCGCTGGATCAATTGCAGGTGGGTTTTTAAGCGCTCCGAGACGCGGACCCGCGTGAAGGGAGCTATATACATTCAAGTTATTGTTGTTTTAATTCAAAAATCCTCATTGTACTTGTACTCCTGACACATTGGAAATATCCCTTTGTGGGAACCACTCAGTGGCTCAGGTAACTTGCTGAGTTTCCGCACCCTCTGCACATCACCTGCAGTGGCCGAGCCTTCTTATCCCACACCCCAAATATCTAGACTCCCTCCCTGTACCACTGCATCACCCCCCCCCCCCACCACCACCACCGTCTCTTTCTGTCTTTTAAATCCTGCCTCAAATCCTACTTTTCGAAAGTGCCTAAGAAATTTAGTGCTGTGTCTGTAATCCATCATATACTGTGTAAACAAAACCTGAGGAAGTGGAGTCATGCGGTTATGTTTTGATGTCTTCCACAGACAAAGAACAGAGATCTTCTGAAGCAAGTTGCAACCCTGTCTAAAGGCAAGAAACCAGACAAATGTGGAGCCACTGTTACTTCACCATAATGTATTAACTCCTACCCGGCCAAGCATTGTAAAAAGAACTTGTGGATGAAGTGGGGCATTGTTCAGTGCTGTGCACGTCTTTTATAAAATAAGAAAATCCATATTTTTGCCCTCGATCACATAGCATCGACACTTTGTATATTGGTTGAATGACCTCAGTTTGTTGAGCCATCCCATGTTTTAGCCAGCCTGAAGGGATTAAAACCAGGGTAGTAACTCTTCCAATGCGTTTTTTCCCCTAATTTGATGTGTTAACGGTGGTAAAGTCAGCAAGAGTGTCAAATTTTGATACACGATTCTTTTAGCTTTGTCTTTGTACTCGTGCCATGAAAGAAATATTACCGTAACAACATTGGGTTTCCAATGGTTTGTTTCACTTTTTACAGCCATTTTTAAAAGCTGTCTGTAAAGTGTTGTACAGTTTATATATGTATAGTGAGTGGTGCGTATGTTTTTGTATGAACTTGTTAGCTAACTTCTCATTAAAATATTTCATAGATGTGCATTTCTTTATTATCATTTGCTTAGGCCTAGTTAACCATTTTTGTTTTGAATTGATTGTACCGGTGTGACTTTTCGGGTTGAACTCAGGGGAACTTTCATATCTCCTTTCGAATGTGCTTCGATTCTGTGATATTTTTATTTCTCCAGCGCACTATTTGGCAAGTCTCAGGCAACTTTTGAACATTTCCCAATTTAAAACATTCCAGCAAAGCAATTTGACGACAGCCCCAGTCGGTGAACAAGACAGCCTAAATACATTAAAAACACCTAGTTTTAGGACAGCACTGGGTGGAGTGTGAAGACCTCTGCTTTTGCTTCTGGTAAACTTCTGGAATAAAACCTTTGCAGCATTCTCACCCATTTTCCACTCTTGACTTACTCCCCTTAAACCTCCCCTGGTGTGCTGGAGTGTTTGCATCATTTGTCTTTCAGGAACTCGTTTCCTTAATCATTCTTCCATTTGTGACCAGACATCGAGTGAGCAAGGCTATTACACGCGGAGAAGGTAAGATTACAGTAGAGATCTTGCAGTAGGGGCTCACTAGCTACTGCAGTCAGCCCGAGGAAGCTTGGACCAGTTGTAACATGCCCCCAAAGCACCGTGCCTGAGATTTGCTAACAGCACAGATAGGAGTCGCAAACCTTTCTGGTGTTTGTGGCTCATTACGTTCACTGAACCAATTTGGGTGTGGGGGGGTTGGGGTGGGAAGAGGGTGGGGGGTGAAATCCTTCAATTGTAAATTGATCCTAAATTTGTAGAATATAACTTCTTGTACGATTTATGAATGAAAGAAAGTACTGGTCAAAATTATACCATGTTTAGCAACATGTTTGTCTGTCTTGACCAGCGACACCCAGTAAAGGCAACCGGGTTTAACATCAGGTCCAAAGGACGGCAACTCTGACAATGCGCCACCCACCCCCAGCGCTGCATTGGGATGTCAGCCTGGTCTACATGAGTTGGAAATTCTGACCGGGTGGGGGGGTGGGGGGGGGATTGTCTGACTGACTGCCACACACGTTTCGCCCACGAAATACACAAGTCAAATCCCTTGAGACCAGTGGCCAGGAGGTGGGTGGGGGGGGAGGGTATAGCAGAGAGACCAGTGGCCAGGAGGTGGGTGGGGTGGGGGGAGAGGAGAGAGACCAGTGGCCAGGAGGAGGATGGGGGGGAGGGTATAGCAGAGAGACCAGTGGCCAGGAGGAGGAGGTGGGTGGGATGGGGGGGGGGTGTAGACCAGTGGCCAGGAGGAGGAGGAGGATGGGGGGGGGGGGGGTAGACCAGTGGCCAGGAGGAGGAGGATGGAGGGGGGGGGGTAGACCAGTGACCAGGAGGAGGAGGAGGATGGGGGGGTAGACCAGTGGCCAGGAGGAGGAGGATGGGGGGGGGGGGGTAGACCAGTGGCCAGGAGGAGGAGGATGGAGGGGGGGGGGGTAGACCAGTGGCCAGGAGGAGGAGGATGGGGGGGTAGACCAGTGGCCAGGAGGAGGAGGATGGGGGGGGGGGGGGTAGACCAGTGGCCAGGAGGAGGAGGAGGAGGTGGTGGGTGGGTGGAGTGCAGTCAGTGGCTTGGGCGGCGCGGGGCGCGCCGGGAGGCGTAGTTCGCCGGTTCCGCGGCTGCGCGGTGGCGGGCGGGGGAGCGGACTCCAAGTCCCAGCGCGCACCGCGCGCGGCCCCGCCCACCTGCGGGGCTACAAAAAAAAAGTTGCATCAGCTGTGCTCAACGTTCTGACTGTCACCCGCGCCCGAGAGCCCCTGTGCACCGGGTGTTTATTGCAGGCGGGTATTTATTTAATTTTTTTTTGGGGGTGTGTGGGTGGGGAGAGGGGGGGGAATCGTCGCAATATTACCCCCACACCCACCTACCCCCTAACTTTCCTCCCCACTCACCCACCCACTCGCTTCAACTCAACCCCAACCCCCACCACCTTTTTTTTAAAAAAAGAAAAAATATGACATTAATACCCCCCCCCACCGCCCCCCCCCCCCCATCCCACACCCCACACCCCCCCACCCCCCCCACCGTGGCAATGATTCTCCTGACAGCTGAGCAGTGAGTGTGGCGACCAAACACCAGAGGCTGAGGCTGGAGAGCGAGAGGAGGGGGCGGTGGGGGCGACTGACCTTTCTCTCTCTCTCTCTCTCTCTCGGTTAGAGAGTTGCAATTTAACACTCTCTCTCCCCCCCCCCCCCCATCACTCCCCCCACACTCCCCCCCATCACTCCCCCCACACTCCCCCCCATCACTCCCCCACACTCCCCACTCCCCCCTTTGAAGTCGTCTGCGGTGGATCGCGCAGTGCAACTCAGCAAACGATAGAGTGTTGCACCGTTTCCTGTGTGTTCTGCCTCCACTTCGTCAACTGCAGTCCCAGTCTCGGATCCCTCTCGAATTGGCTGTTGCCTAAGATTGGTATTATTATTTTATTAACTCTTGGCTTGTTTCCACTGTAAAGTGTAGTGACTGTGTTTGGCTCAGGGGGTGGTGGTGGGTAGGTGGGTGGGTGGGTGGGGGGCGATCTTGTCTTAAAAGAGGCAGGAGAAGGCGGTGGTGAACGGACCCCACCCACGACCCCCCCCATCGGAACCGCTTTGAATGTCGATGGACCGGGATCCCATCGGCCGAGCCGCGCGTCCCGACCGAGCAGATGACCGCTCCTGCGATGTCAGGAAATGGACCGACATGATTTGCAGCCGGGAGGAGGGAAGCCGAGCCGCGGGGATGGACGGCGTCGCCGGCGCTGTCCTGGGTTGGATCGAGGCGGTCGGAGCTGGGAACTCCAGGCCGGCCGGTGACCAGCGCCCCGAGCCGGCAAATACCCAACCCTCGCCTGAACTCGAACGACTGCTGCTCCTCCTGCTGAGGTTGGCCAACAGTTGTCCTTTCGGCGACATCCGAGAGAGGAGTGCACACATTCTGCAAACTGCGCTGGTAAGTGTGATGGGGCAAAGCCAACCCCAACCCCCTCCCCTCTCTCCCCCCCACCCCCGCCCCCCCCACCACCACCACCCACAAAACAATCACTCGTGCAGTCGGTGTGTTTTTGACGTGAGGGGTGCTATATAAATTCTTGTTGTTGTGGTTCAAGGGCTCTGGGACGTTACCCTCGGGAGGGGTGCTATGCAAATCAAGTTGTTGTGTCTCTTTAAAGTGGAGATTGGTTTTGTACTGTCACTGTTTACAAGTCGCCACTTCAAAGACAGTTCGTTGAAACTAAAATTAGTTTGGATTTCTTATTTGGCTTTGGTCATTTTGTCAGAATCGCCGATTCTAGAAGGCAAAACTCTGTGGTGGCAATTTTCGCACTGCGGGGTTTTTTTTTTTGTTTTTATTCTGTGAAGGTTTCGGACCACTGATTAACACATACAAGGTCAAGACAATTACGACTGCAGTGAACTCTGTACAAACTCTAATCTCTGTGGCGTTAGTTACGAAGTGTTTTATATTAAACCTCAGATTAAAAAAAAAACATCTGGCTTTATGGATTAGCAAGCATCATAACCTTCTCTGTTTACAAATTTAGCAAGAAATTGGCTTGCAAGTAGCAACTATGGCAATGTCTGCCCCACTTTCCACTATCGGATGGTGTGTCTAGAAGGTGTTAAACAACAACTTGCATTTATATAGTGTCTTTTAGCGCTCCGAGACACTATCCTGAGTGAAGGGCAGTACAATATTCGGTATATTACTGCGTGATAATCCTTACATTTGAAATGGCGCCTTTCACGTCAAAGAGGATTTTCAAAGTGTTTCACAGGATTTGCAAACAAAGCAATTAAAAGGAGAACTTTCTCCGAATCTTTGAATCATGTAGTCAAATGTAACTTGTCAGAATGGTAGAGCCCTTCCAGCAGGGATTCTGCAAAGAACCAGTCAGACCACATTGGCAGTACAGCATTCAATTGTGGTCCCAAAGCCCGAAACAACACCTATCACATCGGAGAGGGTGCAGGGACGAGCAACAAAGTTCGTGGCCGGTTCAGAAAGTTTGAGCAACGAGGAAAGATGAGATGAGCTTTATTATTAATAATAATAATAATCCTTTCATTTGATATCACGCCGTAACACGTCTTCGGGATGTCTCAAAGCGCTTCATAGAATATACTCTAAAGTGAATTGACTGAATGAGAAAACGCCCACAAAATTTGTCAAGTCCAAAGAAAGGGTGGTTTCGTATTTGTTCTGCCTCAGTCAGTCTAGAGTAACTAACAGGTAAATGAAGTTATTCTTTATTGTGAAGCAGATCACTAGGTCAGTGAACTAACGACCAGATATGTATTTCACTTCTGTGGAAGGTCAGAGATCTTTCAAGTGCAAGCGCTTCGGAATGCTACCCCGTGTGAAGGGCGCCATATATATATATATATAGTTCTGTGGAACAGGACAGGATCTGCAAGAGGTGTGGTCTGGAATGCTGAATATACTGTCTGCTTCAGGAAGTATTTCAAGCAGTTGTATGGACCGGGAGGCCTGGTTTTCTTCTGTTCATAGGGATACAGGGAAGGGAATAATAAAGTTTGATGGCGGAGCATGAACAACAACAACTTGCATGCATATAGCGCCCCTCACGCGGGACGCGCTCCGAGATGCTCTCCTGTGTGAAGGGCGCTGTATAAATGCAAGTCGTTGTGGTGGTTGTTGATGGCGATGGTGGCCGTCTATCAGGCGCAGAGATGATTTGCTTTTTGATGCGATTGCACTGAAAGTTCAAACACGTGACACTCCGAAAGCCCATTGGATAAATGAACAACCGTTGACTGGCAGTGTCGAGGGAAATTTGAGCCAGAGGCTGTGCCATCAGACTCAGCGATCTAGACTGGAGAGGAGAAAACAAGTTGGGAGTTTCCGCTTCTGATTTCTATCTAGCGACCAGAGTCCAAATATGTACATGTGTTGCTGAATCGGACTTTGGTGAGTGGGTTGTGATGTCCTTCCAATAAAACAGTGTGTCCACGCTCACAGAGAAGACTTTCACTTTGATTCATTACCTCTGGGCTGCCTACACACGAACACTGCCCCCCTCGCTCTCACAGCATCTGTAAAAGATAATTTAACACTTCGGATGAGGTCCTTTAGGAAGAATGGTGCATATCATCCACTTCATGTGCTTTTATTTCATGTCCCCACCATTGGCGGTAAAGCTTTCAGCCTATCTCCCACGGTCCACACTCTCTGGAACTCCATCCCCAAATTCATCCAACTGCCCATCTCCGTCATCTCTTTCGAGGTATGTCTCGAGACCTTCCTCTTTGACCGCGCTTTCAGAGCACCTTTCCCATCCCCACCACCTCGGCTGCCACCCCAAGCTCAGGTGCCCAGCCAGAATTGTTAACCGTTATGGGGATGCCCTCCAGACCTACTTCCCTTCCCAGCCTTCCTTCTCGACCCTGTCCTTGTGTGATGGCAAACCGCAGGCACATTATCTCGTTATTAGCTAAACATTGCACCGATAATTTTCTGAGAAGCCTCCCCCAGCCCGCCCGCGGGCTCGGAGTCAGTGCCATGTTGTTGTTGTCAACATTTTGGCTAAGGATTACAAAGGTCTCTTTCTTTCTGGCTCTTGCTGCCTGGGAATGTCCCAGATTTTAATTTCTTCCTTCTAGGTTTAAAAAGAATATCGTATGCCCACAAAATACGCAGTCATTGGCTGCATGGATCAGGGTTGGCTTGGTAATGTATGGAGATGTTTACGTCCAATGTTATTGGTTTCTTGTGGATCTACATGCCGTTGGGTCATGTTCTGTCTCCTGACCAACACTTGTCTATGGTTTCCCCATGAGCAAAATGACTAAGCCAAAATGTGCTGCTTCCTTCTTTTGGAAGCGACTGCTTAACCGATGGGTAGCAAATGGCTTGAGCAAAATCAATAGGTTTTCAGTAAGCGGGAGTGATTTTTCCATCCCCACTGGATACGTTACTCCCGAGACTTTCTCCTGTGTGAAGGCTGCTATAGTTGTTGCTGTTGTTGTTTGCACTCAGTTCCAGTTAAGTTAGTTAAACTAGTTTAAAAGAAACTAGCGAACTTTTGCCCATTAAACTGGGCGAGTGCCTTTCTGAGTTGCTGTGAGCACCAAGTTCCTGTGGGTGGTAGCAATGTGGAGCTGGTGGGAGTCGTCCGAGGTCTGAACACCACCGCCTGGAGGCCGCGGGGCGAACCACAGGGTTAAAGCACGGAACAATCTTCTGGGTTTGATTAAACTTTTCCTTGTTGCGCTCATGTACGCAGCAAAGGAACCTGAGTTCAAAGGCAGGACCCCAAAAGGCCATGCCAAAGACGGCAATGGAGTCCTGTAGCTCAGTGGTTAGAGCACTCGCTTTGCAAGTGAGAGACCTGAGTTCAATTCCAGGCAGAGGGCGAAACCTTGGGCAAGTTTCCTTACTCCACACAGAGCCCTAATAATAAACCCTCCAAAACCAAAAACAATAATAAATTGGTCATTTTCAATCCACGACTGTTTGTGGGACATTGCTGTGCGCAATTGGCCGCCGCGTTCGCCCACAAATATACAGTCAATTCACTTTACAGTGTGTTCTGCGAAGCGCTTTGGGACGTCCTCCCGACGTGAAAAGCGCTATATCAAATGCAGGATTATTATTATATTATTAGAGTGAAATAAAGCATTAGTGATCCTTATTTGCAGCGCGGTGCCACAAGCCCCAGAAGCTCTCCGAGACACTACACCGCAAGTTGGTGGTGGTGGTGGTGCAGCAGAAACCAGAAAGTTGTGGGTTCCAATCCCGGCTTGAACCCGGGTCAGCAAAACAGTCACTGCTGTCACTGAACCCTGCTGGCGTGTGTGTGCGCGTGTGGTGGTGCGCGCGCGCGTGTGTGTGTGCGTGTGCACAGATGGATAAGCAGGTGAGAGCAATATCTGAGATTTTACTAACAACAACTTGCACTTACACAGCGCCCCTCACACGGGGCGGCGGCGTCCCGGAGCGCTTTACTCTGGGGCGCTTCTACTGAACGATCCAAACTGCTGCGGGGCTGAATGGCCCGTTTCCGTGCTGTAAATCTCTGTGTAGTAATAATAACGCTCGCCTTTGATAACAGCGCCTCATCACGTCTTCGAGACGTCTCAAGGCGTTTCGCAGGATACGCTGTAAAGTGAATTGACTGTGTATTTCGCAGGGGGAAATTTAATTATCTAGGAATATTCACGATCAAATTTTTCTCCCAACGCTCCAGTGTGTGTCCGCCTGTATCTTTCTGTCTGTGTGCATGTTTCCCTGCCCCCACCCCCCTCAATTATTCACTCTACGACTGGGTTCACGTCAGCGCAGATCTATTCGCTTGCTGCTAAGGGACATGTGCATTTGACCCGTTTTGGTTATGTGTAAATAATCAAAATTCTTGAGTGACATGTGAAATATTACTGTGGAGTTTTAATTACTAACAAAACGTGGTTATACAATATCCAGCAAAGTTTACTGCGGGTCGCTCGAGGGAGGGCTTTGACATAGCGACTGTAAAAGCACAAAAATCTCCCAAGGTTATTAAATGGAATGAAGCATTCAGGTAACTGGAGTCTGAACATTGGTATGGAATGAGACGTGCAAACAATGACTGTTCTATGATAATAATTCATGCATTTGATACAGCGCCTTATCACGACTTCGAGACGTCTCAAAGCGCTTCACACAATATACTGTGAAGTGAAATGGCTGTATATTGTGTGGGCGAAACGCGGCAGCCAATTGCGCACAGCGGCGTCCCCACAAACAGTTCGTGGATTGAGTAACCAAGTTATTATTTGTTTTTTGGAAGGGATTATTCCCCCCGGAAACGCGATCCGCCTATGCACTAACAATCAGGTTCATACTTACCGCTGGGTAAACAGGGGCGTGTTGGAGTAAGGAAACTTACTTAAGTGACTATGTATTTTGTCAGCGTATTTAAGCGTACAGAGACCTGCGTCTAAGCTCATTCG